TTGGATTAATCGTTTTCTTAGATATGAGTATTATTGTCTAAAAGTGAAATCTGTAGAGAAGCATCTACTTTTTTTACGGCAGTACCTATCAGCAATTGGTTGGGTTGATGTCAAAATAGTGTCTGAAACAGTCTTAAAACAAACACTTTTATCGGTCTCTAGATGTGAGTAGGGGTGTCCTGATGGAACTTTTTCATTTCCAGTTTGATACTGACATTCTATCAGCATGCATGGATCTTCAAGACAAACCCCCAGACATAATATGACTGCGGTGTTGTATGCAGTTCAAAGCAGTGAGGAATGCTCTGATATTTATATTGGATTAACCAAACAACCTCTCAATAGACACATGGTCCAAAACAGAAGAGCGACCTCCTCCGGACAAGACTCGACTGTCCACCTAAACCTAAAAAACAAAGGACATTTGTTGGAGGACCAAAATGCTCATAATTAGGACAAAGAAGATGGGTGGTTTGAAAGGGTGGTGAATGAAGCCATTAATGTTTAGAGCAAAATACCAACAACAGAGGGGGTGGACTAAGGTTTCAGCTTCAAAAACCTACAATTAAGAGATGGAATGTATTTATTCCCGTGATCATCTCAACCCCCATCGCCATGCAGGGGACCGAAACATCTTGCCTGGTCAGCCAGGTTCAATTTGCATGTTTTCTAAGCCATACAAGGCTTTTGTTGGGCAACTCTATAAAGCCTGGAACTCAAAAGCTACTCCAAACATTTTGAATTGAGAAAAGTCCTGCATGGGAAGTGAAATGTCTTCAAACTTGAAAACAAAGTCCAGTGGTTTGTTTGCAACTTTGTTGGAATCTATCAGCATGCTAATATTGAAGATTTTGGATGGTCTATATACACTATATTGCCAAAAGTATTTGCTCACCTGCCTTGACTCACATATGAGCTTAAGTGACATCCCGTTCCTAATCCATAGGGTTCAATATGACGTCGGTCCACCCTTTGCAGCTAGAACAGCTTCAACTCTTCTGGGAAGGCTGTCCACAAGGTTTAGGAGTGTGTTTATGGGAATTTTTGACCATTCTTCCAGAAGCGCATTTGTGAGGTCGCACACTGATGTTGGACGAGAAGGCCTGGCTCTCAGTCTCCGCTCTAATTCATCCCAAAGGTGTTCTATCGGGTTGAGGTCAGGACTCTGTGCAGGCCAGTCAAGTTCATCCACACCAGACTCTGTCATCCATGTCTTTATGGACCTTGCTTTGTGCACTGGTGCACAGTCATGTTGGAAGAGGAAGGGGCCAGCTCCAAACTGTTCCCACAAAGTTGGGAGCATGGAATTGTCCAAAATGTCTTGGTATGCTGAGGCATTCAGAGTTCCTTTCACTGGAACTAAGGGGCCAAGCCCAGCTCCTGAAAAACAACCTCACACCATAATCCCCCCTCCACCAAACTTTACACTTGGCACAATGCAGTCAGACAAGTACCGTTCTCCTGGCAACCGCCAAACCCAGACCCGTCCATCAGATTGCCAGATGGAGAAGCGCGATTCGTCACTCCAGAGAACGCGTCTCCACTGCTCTAGAGTCCAGTGGCGGCGTGCTTTACACCACCGCATCCGACGCTTTGCATTGCACTTGGTGATGTATGGCTTGGATGCAGCTGCTCGACCATGGAAACCCATTCCATGAAGCTCTCTGCGCACTGTTCTTGAGCTACATGAAGTTTGGAGGTCTGTAGTGATTGACTCTGCAGAAAGTTGGCGACCTCTTCGCACTATGCGCGTCAGCATCCGCTGACCCCGCTCCGTCAGTTTACGTTGCCTACCTCTTCGTGGCTGAGTTGCTGTCGTTCCCAAACACTTCCATTTTCTTATAATACAGCTGACAGTTGACTGTGGAATATTTAGGAGCGAGGAAATTTCACGACTGGATTTGTTGCACAGGTGGCATCCTATCACAGTTCCACGCTGGAATTTACTGAGCTCCTGAGAGCGACCCATTCTTTCACAAATGTTTGTAAAAACAGTCTGCATGCCTAGGTGCTTGAATTTATACACCTGTGGCCATGGAAGTGATTGGAACACCTGATTCCAATAATTTGGATGGGTGAGCAAATACTTTTGGCAATATAGTGTATATGCGGATATTTTTTTCCACCCAGTCTCTAGATACGGGTGTTTCCATGGGAGGGTGGAGGGGGCGCTATAACTTAAAAACAAATGTTTACCAAAAACCAGTCAAATGTATACTAAGGTATCAAATCAGTTTTTTTACATAACCGCCAAACACACACAAAAAAAGTTATAAAATATTCTGCAAAGTGCTTTAAATCAGTCATAGCTTTCTTAATCCATGCTAGGTCAGATGCTGACATTTGAAAAAGGAGGCAGGGAAAGCAGAATAAATCATTAGCTTTGCTGCATGCAGTTAGCCAAGCCTTGTAGCTAAATAATTCTATTAACCAGTCAATCAGCTGCACGACTGTGACGTGAGCGCTGTTGTGGGAGGTGGTGTACAAAAAGCTGCTTTCAGCTCTGGGAGCAGGAGAGCTGCTCCCTAGGATGGTCCTATCTTTACATTGATGAGGAGCTACTGCGCATGGACAACTTTTAGCCAGAATCTATTGGAAACGTTTTTTGGAAAATTCACCAATCCGACAACAAACGAAACAGTTTTACTCATATTTAAAAATTAAATATTTATATTGGACATCTGAAAATATATTTATCATTTTGGAAATATTTTGAGTTTATAATTTGATTGGTTTTTTTATGTGTTAATCAATGTCATCGGGTGGGTGAGGCGGTGCCCTCTAACGGTCAGCCAAAGCTTGTTGTTTCCCACATTTTTACCTTCCACTCAATTTTCCATTAGTTTCCTAAATCCAGCTTTCTCTTCTTTAATTGGACCTCCAATCCACTGTCGCTCCATCAGGTTTCCCATTGCTGTCCAGGAAATGCCCCACCCCATATGTCTGCTTTAAATCATTGTCTTAGAACCTGAATAATGGGGTTTGTTAGCTGTTAGCCATAATCATTAAGATCAACTGAAATGAACTCTTTGAATGCATTTCTGCATTTGTAATGGGAAGTTTTTGATGCTGAGTTAATGAATGGTGACTTTAACCGAGCTGCTGTGTCCTCTGTCTCTCTGGAAAAGTCGGCGTTAATGCCTTTGGACACCTTGATGAACTGCATTTTTTAAGGCAATTTAATTAATTCGAGAGGCCTTTTTTTTAGTTCAGCAGCCATCAAAGTTAACAACCTTATTAACTATTGCAAGATGGTGTGGAAAAAGGGAGCAAAGAATAAAGTGACTTTAACTGCAATCTGCATGGTAATTGAGCTGTTGTTTAAAATTCTCATCCCAGCACATTATTGATTTGGCCCCCCCACCTCGGCGACCAACCTAAGTGGAATTGACCATTCCACCTTTTGCCTCCTCCCGTCCTCTTTTGTCCTCCACTTCCTTCTCTGACCTACATTCATCAGCTTTTGGCCAATCGCATCTTATTTGGGCAATGCTTGCTGTTCTGCTTCTGTTTTAATACATCTTAATCATGATTAATCCTAATCCCCTCAGTGGACAATATGCAGACATATGGTCTAAGGAAGCTAATTCATCTCACAACAGAAACGTGCTCCACAGGCTGGGGGGGGTGATATAGCAGCGTAGATGCCAGGTTAGATATAGAGGGAAGGATTTTGAAAGTGATGGAGGTTTGGAAGTCTGAGTGGATTTTCTTTTTCTTTTTAAGCTTTTCATGCAGCAAATGAGTGCTAATGTTTTTTTTTGTTTGTTTTTTTCTACAACTCATTGGTCATTTATTGGTGAAATTACTTTATCTGTAGTCCTGAAATATGTTTCTAACAGAAGAGGTCCTTGATCTGACAGTTGCTGATCAACAACCAGCCACCTCCAGTGTTCTGGATCAAATTTATTAACCAGTACTGAACACAGAGAAGCAGCTTTTAGTTTTTATGCTCCATTAATCTGGAATAAACTCCCAAAAAACAGTAAAAGGGCTGAAACTATGTTGCTTTAATTCAACATTAAAACCTATTAGTTTAGAGCTGCCTTTGTTTTTTGTTTTTTTTTGTTTTGTTTTTTTTTACGGTTGTGGATTGATCCACCTCTTCATGTCAGACGTGTTCCTTCTCCGTCCAGCTTTTAAAAAATCTAAATAATAGTTTAAGAGATCTACTAAGGAACTGTATGATTTCTAAATCTGTTTGTTGCAGCTAGTTGTTCTCAGGAGAGAAACCTGGAAGTTACAGGTCTAGTGCCCCTAGTGGCGAAAATTAGTATTGCTTCAAATTTTCAAATTTTTATTACTTTTTTCTTTTTTTTTGGCACAGCCAGAGAAATTTTTGTGTTTTTACCTTTGATTTAATTGATCTTATTGTCTTTTTTAAATGTTAACTGAAGCATCTCTTATATTGGTGTGTAGCCCAGCTCATCTCTACCCGCCATTATGTTTCTGCAGTTTACTTTTTAGATTGTCTCTCCCACATTCACTCACCCGTTACTGAAAGGTGTTTTACCAATAAACAGGTCAAAATGTGGTTAATGAAGACATGTTGAATGTCTTTTCAGAAGCAAAAAGGTCATTACTTAAATAGATTTATGTCTTTCAGTCTCTGAGATGCGGTACATCCTCCCCCATACCAATCAGTGGACATGGGGTGCTTTCCCACACTTTTGGTTTCCCACCAAACCCCCACATGAAAATGTTTGTTTCTGAAAAGCTCAAACTAACTCCCACTATCTAAAGCACAACCTTCTGCTTAAAGTTTCAGAGTTTAACTATTTCCACCTTTATAACTGTAATATTTTACAGAAAAAAGGTTTTTCTGTTTTGTTTTTTGTCTCTGGTACTGATCCCAACCCATAGTTGTGACCCCACTCTGCCACTCTGACAGTTTATCTCCTGGTGGCTGAGTGGCGGTGGGATAAAGATGGACAGGAGCTACCGTAGAAGTAGCCATTGTGTATCTGTTGTACTGGAAGTCTGTCTGTGCTCTGTCTCAGACCAGTCCCAAGCCGAGCGGTCCAACTCCATCACCGTGGCCGGAGCTGTGATGGGTGCAGTCCTCGCTCTCTTCCTCATCGCCGTCTTCATCATTGTGGTTCTCACTGCTCGGAAAGCCCCTCCCGCCACCTATACCGACAAAGTGTAAGTCTACCAAATAATTCATGCTGGAGAATATGCTTGGCTAGTTAAATGATGACATGGTGCCCCTCGGGTGACAGAGGCCCACTGGTGAACGGGGTTCACTTCTTGCTCTTGCAGAGATCTCCACAGCGGTTAACAGCATTAGACTGTGGATGAGGATGGAAAAGGTTTTCACTTTTCTCTTGGCAGAAAGCCTTTGTCCCGCTTTACCTCCAAATGTGTCTACAGTCCATCAACCATGTTTAATTTTAGGCCAAAGAGGAACGTTGGGGTTAAATAATTGAAGTCCTGTCCCAGGCTAGTGACTGACATGAAACATTGTGAATCTGTTCCACTTTTTTTGATGGATGATAGAAACTATTACAATGAACAAATATAGAAGAGCTTGGACAACGAAAAGCAAAAACCTTATATTTGTGTTCTGTAACGCATCATTTTGTCCATTTCGTTTTGGCTCTGACTGATATGAATCATTTTTCCCATGCTGTGTGTTTAGGATGGAGACTGAACCTTCATTCTAATCTCAGGTCTTTGCAGTAGATGTTTCCTTTCCTTGTGTCGTTGAGCAATTCCTCACACCGAGGATGCATGCAGCAACAGTGGAAAGGGAAAAACTCTCTTTGAACAAGAAGAAACCTCCAGCAGAACCAGAACCAGGCTCAGTGTGAGCAGCCATCTGCTGAGGCAGACTGGGGTTCAACATAGTAGCATTGATCTATAAATACTTTCTATATTAGAAAAGGTAACAGTAAGCTAGATCCTCATGTGGCTCTGTCTGGGGAGAAAAAAAAAGTTACGCAGACAAGCTCTGAGCAAGTTTTCTTTTCCAAAGGATGAAAGAGAACATCCACTCAGTCACAATAAAAGCTAAGCCCATAGCTATGTCTAGGAGAGAAACGGGACTAAACACTGAAAACATGCCCAACTGTATAATTTATAATCTAAGTTGTTGATGGCAGCAGCACAGCTGCTATTACTGTCCAGGATGGAGTCACAGCCAAATAGGAACAGATGAAGCTACAATCATGAGAAAAAGAGGAGAGAGCTTAACATTAGAAATTTAACTAACAAATACTGCATAGTGGGAGAAAAGAGAGAGAATGATGAAAAAAGGGTCCCTATGTCTATGAAACCCAGCTCCATCCACTGAATCGGCAGACACAAAGTTGTTTCTTGCTCTAAACTGCTCTCAGCCAGTGGCAGGAGCACTGCAGATCACTGGTCTGACCTTGGTTAGCAATGGAAACCTGTTCAATCCTGCTGTGTGAACTAATCTGAAGCCCTCATGAAGTTTGGAGGTCTAGAGCTGTGGATTCTCTTAAGAGTTGATTTAAGCAGATGTCAACCTTAATCTCCTTTGTTACCAGTTAATTGTTGTTTTTTTTATTTCCATTTTCTTGGATTAATTTTAGTGGAAAGGTTCACCTGTTCCCATCGGTGGATTACTCTCATTTTAGGGCTTCGTTCTTTATGCCTTTATGCCTCTCCAGGTGGACGGCATGCTGACAGGTCCTAATTAAGTAATTTATTGACCATTCTTTAAAAATAATCTAAATAATGTTGATGATCATTATGTATTGTTTTTAAAATTGGTAATTTCTCACAAAGGCCCAGATGGTTTAGATTACTTCATCCTCTTCTTGAAGATTAAAAAAAAAAGGTTCTAATGCGTCACTAAAAAGCCCAAAATAAAATGACAGTCCTGCCAATCTTGAGTGCTTGTAATATCCTGCCAAAACTTTTTCAGAGGGCATAGAAACAGTACTGACAATGATTGGATGTAAACTACAGCAGCCAATCCACCCACTCTCTCCTCTGTTCATGTCTACATCCTGTCAGCAGCAAATAAGAGTTTCAGAGACGTTTGTGGATCGCGCTTCAGACTCTGTCTGAGGACTGGACAGGGGCGAAAATAGAGGGGGGGTAAGGGGTTGCCATGGTCACCCTTAGCCAATCATTCACCTCCGTTGTGACCACCTCTACCAGTTAATTATTTTTTCCCATCATGCATAAATTCACCATATCTGGAACAAGCAGATTTCCTCTTAACCTGGTGGCAGCAAAGATAATTTCAAGAGGAATAACCCAATTAATGACGTTTTAATTGTTTATGAGCTCTAAACTGACAACAAAAATACAGTAGTTAATTATTCACACTAATATATCTAAGTAAATAATGACAAATACAGAATTGCTGCTCTTTTCAGAACTAGATTTTGGGTGTTATGACTGCAAAGCTAAATTCCCATGCGTAATTAGAGGTGAATAAAAACTAAACTGATTTAATGTACCGGTATGTATATGCAAATGTACAGAACTATGGTTAAGTAAAAGGAACACTGTTACTTTTGGCCAAACTTTTAGCTTAATGTGAGATATGTTATTTATAATGTTTCTATATTATTACTAGTTATTTTTCAGGTAAATATTCAGCTCTTGGTTTGTATAGATGCTACATGCAGCATCAAAACGGCTCTTTATTTACAACAATCTTTGCTCCCCTTAAACACCACTGGTAACTAATCTAACACTTGCTGTTTTCAAACCAAAACAGATATAACCCTTAACTAATGTTTCCTCATCTTTACCAGGAACTCCATGAGTTCTCAGTCTGCTAATCCAAAGTGGTCTGATACAAGAACCCAAAATGGAAATATTTTAACTATGGAAAAGTGGTTTAAAGCAGGCATGCCCAAATTTGGCCCTCGAGGGCCGCTGTCCTGCAGGTTTTAGAGGTTTTCCTGCTTCAGCACAGCTGATTTTCATTGATAGCTGATTAACAGGCTTTTGCTGAACTACAGTCATCAGAATCAGCTGTTCCAAAGCAGAGAAACCCCTAAAACCTGCAGGACAGTGGCCCTCGAGGGCCAACTTTGGACATCACTGTTGAAAGGGATCCACAACTATCTGAACATGTTGTGACAAGTAAAACCTCATCAGTACTTACAAAAATGATATATCCTCTGTCATATTTGGCCTGTGTAATGCCTGCTCTGAATGAAGTTTAAAGAGAGAGCAACAAACATCTGTATCTAAAGTGTAGGGATTAGTGGCCTCATGGTTAGGGCATAGGGCTTGGAATCCTGAGGTTGTGAATTGGAAACCCATTCCAACAGACTGCCACTCTTGGTCTCTAAACAAGACCATTAACCCCCGATTGCTCCCGGGGCACCGCACAGTGGTAGCCCACTGCTCCCTAAAGGGGATAACTTAAATGCAGAGTTAGTTTTTCCATTGCTAGATTGATAAAGTTCTATTCATATCTGTTGTTTATTTTTGCAAGAATTGTTTGGTATGGTAAAAATGATGAATTAATTCAAAACAAAATGGGTTACAAAAACATTTAAAGTTACAGTGTTGCTTTAAAGGGATAGACTCTTTTTGTTTGATGTCAAATTTTTGTCAAAGCGTTAGCTGGTGGCAGAACAACCCGACAACAGGAGGCGGCCAACACTGACCAGCACAGGCTCAGCTAAATGGGGAGCTTAAAATGGCGTTATGGTGTGTGTTGATTGGTTCTGTATTTGTTGTCTTTAATCACAGTATATTGATGTATTTTTCCTTACAGTTTTAACGGTTAAAATGTCCTGGTTCCAAGGGGAACAGTTCAGGAGGTCGTGAATTACGTCCACATACGGACAACAAACGACCTGCCTGATGTGTCAAAAGAATTTATATTTATTACTCCATTAGAAGTATAAATCATGCTGTTCAAAAGTTAGAGAATCAACATAAGCCTTTTACTCCAGAAAAAATTTAAAAGTACCATTTTTAAAACTACTTAAAGTATAAAAGTAAAATTAAGGAAAAAAATGATAAGGACCGAAGCTTTACTGCTCTACCCTATTAAAGGAACATTTTTCTATGATCGCTTAATTTTCTTACTTTTATAACTTATGGTAAGAGTGTCAAATTTGACTTTGCATCATCGTGAAAAAACTATTTATTGGTATGTAGTGAACAACAAGTTGGGGCAGCACCGAGTCCAACCACAAAGAAATTATTTGTCTGCATTAAATTCATTTTATTAATTCTTTTAATACAGCAGGCCTTAATGAATGAGACTTAAATAAAACTAGTATATTTTTAAAATGTAAGAAGTAAAAAGTTGTCTGAAAAATGGTTACTCTAATAAAATATAGATTGCCAACATTTCTACCTAAGTAAGGAAGTATTAGTACTTTGTTACTTGACACCTCCGCCACCTGCCCCCCCTCTAGCTCCGCCCCTGGTTCTCCTTTCTGTTGATACAGTGTAGGTTAACTTTGAACTGGTTCTGGCACTGATCAGTTTTTGCTCACCCCTCAGTGCACATTGACCCCCGCCCGGCCACCCTCAGGACATTGCATGGGTGTGGGGGGTGGGTCTGGATCCTACTGAAGGCTCCATGTGCTGGGCTGGCCAATGCCACGACAAACTGAGCATCTTAAGTGTGACCGCCGGAAGTCCCAGTGGGGTGGGGGGGGCTGAGTGTAGGACAGCAGGTCAGGGAGTGCAGGGACTGTAATCTGTGCTGCGTCGGGCAACACATGGCAGGAGGAGAATCGATGCCTGTCATGACATCTTTTTATGAATTACCAAGGTCAGTTTCTAGCTCTCAGTTTTAGCAGAAGATGGAGATTTCAGAGAATGACCGAAAGCTTCATGTTAAGTAGGAGTTTGAACGAACAGCTGAGCTGACATCATGCTCAGGGAACTAATATCGGACAGAATTGCCTTTTTTACTCAACAGATTTGTTCAAGCTGCAGATTTTCTGATCCTCATATTTCCTAAAACACACCCAGCCTCGCCTGGAAATGCTCACCTCATATTTTCAGGCAGCTCTCGAGTTAATTTGTAACCTTAATATCATCACTTTGATTAAAAAGCTTTTCTTTTAGGCAGCCATCCTGAAAATTTGATCCAGACACTAATTTTCTATCCTTTATAAACATTTCCTGCTCTGATTGTTTCCTTCATATAAAAAAAGCTAAGATCTCCTCCTCTCGTGTCTTTTTCTTTTTTCCCCGCCAAGGATTGACCTTCCTCCGACTCACAAGCCCCCCCCTCCGTATTCGGAGAGAGCACCGGCTGTTCCTCTGGGAGTCCACGCATCACAAGTGGCCTGGCTGTGTCAGGTAAACCCTGCCGCCTCGCTGCAGCTCAATGTGTCTGCAGAGAAGAAACCCACTTTGTTAGCTCATGATGAGTCACAGCACATAGTCAGGCAGGGGAAAAAAACAAGTGGGTTGTGTGATAATGTGAGGTTATTAAGTGCTGAGACCTAATGATTCAGATGAAGCTTGATTAAAGTTTCATTTCTGTTCTTATGAACCTATTTCTGCATGCAAATCATTAACCTCACAGGACTATCCTTTAAGTATCCATTATCTTCCAATCTAATCAATTCCCCCTAAAAGTATCCCCACATCATGATGCAGCTGCTACCATGCTTCACTGTGCTCAGGGTTTTAGTGTTCCTCATCTGACCAGAGCGCCTGCTAAAGCAGAGGTTCCCACAGCGGGGGTCGGGGACCCTCCAGGAGTCCCAACACACCAAGTTTAGGGTCATGAGATGTTTTCACAATCATGATGTGATCTCTTAGGTGTATGGAGGGCTAAAATATATACCCATGAAAAAAAGTAGCATTAACATTTGTTTATTGAATTTTTCTTTTTTTGTCGCAAGCACAGAGCAATGAAATTCACTCTCTGCGTTTAACCCATCCTCTTGGGGAGCAGTGGGCTGGCATCGTTGGGCACCCGGGGAGCAGTGGGGGGTTAAGGGTCTTGCTCAGGGAGCCAGAGTTGCGGTCTGTGGGAGTGGGGGCTTGAACTCTTAACCTCTGGATTACAAGCTCTATGCTCTAACCACTACGCCACCGCTCCCCCCTATGAATGAACTAAAACATGATTAATATATTAAATATACCGTTAAATTGTAAAATGTACATTTAAATGAATAAATGTCCCATTCTGGACAAGCCCTTGCTTTAAACAATGAGCTTTCACACCCCCACCATGGACTGCAGGTACAGCAGATTCTGTTACAGTTTCTTCCCTACCACCATCAGGCACCTGAACTGTTGAAAAACTCTAAATCATGTGACAGACTGAATCACACTGATAACACCAAACCAAAACACTGCATATTTGCACCATTTTATATTTAATTGTCTGAACATTTACTTATCAATGTGTTTTTTGCACCATGTTTTTTCTCCCACACTGTACATCCGATCACTGCTGCACATTATGGAATGGAAATGTTCATTTCACTGCTAAGCTGCTGCTCATTTGCTGTCTGAAAGCTGTACAAAATGAAATTTTGTTTTGTATATTCTGTGTATACACAATGACAATAAAATTCGAAATAATAAAAAATGAATTAACAATGATGAATCAAAGCAGCGCTGCGTAACTTTTGACTGCATTATTAGCTTAATCTGAGATATATTAAGATTACTGGGGTCAGTATTTATCTCTTGGTGCACATCGATGCTACAGATGGGCTCATTCTCCCAAATGCTGGATGCAGATAAGCAACATAACCTGCAGGGGAGTGGGCCCTAAAGACAAGGCTGGGGACCTCTACCCCCTCATTGCTTTCTTTCCACCATAGAGGCCAGATTTCATGAGTTTTGGTGAATAGATTCTTCCACATGAGCAGTGAATTTCTGCAGCTCCTCCAGTTACCATGGCTGCTTCTCAGTTAAACACCCTCCCTGCCAGGCCTCTCAGTTTAAATGTCCGTCTCTGTCTGGATATGATTTGAGTTTAATATTTCTTTTTAAACCTGTTTAATTTTTGCTTCCAGGCCCGAAGAGGAGAGCAAAGGTTAGACCAGCGCCACCCCGCCGCAGCGAGACCCAGACCACCATCAGAACGGCAGCGCCCCCACCTGGAGTGGGTATGTCATCAGAGCGGGACAGACCGGGTTTACATCAACCATCGTGAGCACTATGTGTGACAGATCTCCTGAACACATTCCACCAATCAGCGGCAGTGGCTCTGCCCGAGCAGCACCCAGCATATGAGCTTCACCTGATGACCGGGACACAGGAGAGGGGGGGACTGGTGGCAGCAATGGAGGGACATTTCTCACCATGCAGGCAGCTTTCATAATATTTTACTGCAGAATAACGGGAAAGAGTTGAGCATTTAGAGGGAACAGCCTGTTCTTGATGTGAGCCGTCTCCCTGAGACGCTGAGAATGAGCAGCTCTAGACGAACAAACTGGGAAAGGAGGGAACATCCAGTACCGGGCACTAAACGTCTCACTCTTCTTATTTTGGAAACTATTCGCCTTTTATTTAGTAGAACGGATCGTTTTAATGAAAATCTGTGTTTTTAATTCTTTCTCTGACTTATAAACAATAGGGGTGTTTTTCCATTAGAGTATGCTGATATATAACCGTAGGTTTAGGATAAGTTTTCAAGCAGTCAAAAAGTTTTCATCCCCTTTGAAATGTTCTAACTTTACAAGCTCAGAACTTGGTGGATTTTTATGGGATTTCATCTAACAGACAAACACGAAGTGGATCAGAGACGAAATTTAAATACATGATATGTGAAAAAAAAGTATTCAGCCTTTTACTCTGCTTTCCACATCTAGAGAAGAGTTTTACCCATTCCTCTTGGTATATAGATTAACCTCAGTCCGGTTGGATCAAAGATACAAGAACAGTCTGGATTGGATTTACACATGAACTTTGCCTAGGCCAGGCTTTACAAAAAAAAAAGCCTTCTGGAACAGAAACACATGTAAAACTTTCAGGGTTGGGGTTCCTGAGGACCTGCTCATTTGTAGCTCTAATCTGTGTTTACAGTGTTCGATCCTTGGTTTAAATCTCAAGTCTTTAACGGGTTTTCCCTTTGGATCGTTCCATATTTAGCTCTACCTTTCTACCAGCTTCCTGCTGAGAACAATTCATTTTATATCCCTACAGCATGATGCTGCCCCCACCATGTGTCACCCTGTGGTATTGGGTGTTAAAGCTACACTGTGTGACTTTTAGCCTCCAGTGATGCCAGACCTGTAAATTTAGCAACTGACAGCGCTGCATTGTCACTAAATGAAGGAGTCTGTGTCAGTGGAATCTGATAGGGGAGAATTATGGTGTTCCTGGTGAAGACTAGGCCACCTTCATCAATTAAAGGTCAGACCTGCAACTTTTTCATCCAAAACAATACAGTTTTCTAAAGTAGTACCTCCACAGAACATGTAAAGCTGCACAGAATAAAAGTTAATGTTGCTGAAGAAAAAAAAGCATATTAATCATGTTATGATTCCAACATTTACATAAAAGGATCCTCTACCAATAGGAAAAGTGGGTTGATGGAGCTTAGGTGTTGATGGATCATAGTAGCTCCATGATAGAGCTGAGAAATGGCCTAAGGAAAACATCAATCAGGCTTTGGAGCCTTGGTTCTGAATTAAGGAAGCAAAGGGAAAGTTGTTGCTTTCCTTCTGAACTACCAAGTATAGGATCAATCAGAATACCTCATATTGTAGCTCTTAGCTCCTGTTCCTTTACCTTCCGTGAGGTCAACAATAAGAACTCTATCCAGGGTAGGAAAGGAGCCTTCAGCCCTACAGATGTCCTTACACATCATACACACACATGAATGATTGAGGTCAATTGTGGACTACAGCCTTCTGGAATGTAGCTAACTGCTGAAACTTTCTGTTATAAAACCCAAACACATGAAGCTGTGTACGTGAACATGTCTTACACAGGACAGGGAATAAATAAAGGTTTTTGATAGACTCCATGGAGTGGGCTGTGCCTAAATCTCCTGTCACGCAAAAGATTGTGAGTCCATATAGCTCTCAGTGGCAGCTGGAGACATCAGGAGGTCCCTATGCTAAATGAATTGGTTCTAGAAAGCATCCTGCTTTTCTCCTGCTCCTTCCTTACTTCCTTAAATTCAGATAGGACTTATTATGGTAACAGCTGACACAGTTCTACCATGGTTTAAGTGTCCTTATCGATTTGAGGTATTACGATCAAGCCTTTATGTTTAGTTTGATGTAGCAAGCATTAGCGGACCTGGCAACTGTCAGGTAAACAGTTCCAAAGGAGAAGAGGCGAGTGCGTTTTTACCCCTTACTGACAGGGAGGCATTAACCTTTTAGCTATCAGCTTTACAGCATATCCTCCATCAGAGAACCAGATATATTATTAGGGTCAGATCTAAGAACAATTGTTAGCTAAAGCCTCTTTCCAGCTGAAATTAGCAGGTTAACGCGTGTTTATCAAACACCGGACGGCCTGCTCACAATCAGCATCTGGCTCCATCTCCCTTCTCACTGGCTAAAAAAGTTGGCAGCTGCATGGCCAGTAACTGCATGTTTGCCTCTGTGTTGCCCTGCGATGGACTGGCGACCTGTCCTGGGTGCACCACGCCTCTCGCCCATAGACAGCTGGAGATGGGCACCAACACCCCTCGTGACCCCGCTTGGGATAAGCGTTGATAGAAAATGAATGAATAGAAATACTGTAACAACAGTTAAACTTTTTCCACTATAAACATGTTATACAGCTATAGAAAGCTTAGATTCTCCACAATTAACCACAAAGTTATCTCTATGGACACCATGAGCACCAAAGCACAGTTAATAAAGATATAGCAGCATGTTAAATCTGAATTTTTAAAATAAAACTTTGACTTCCTACCTCTGAAACGTTCCTGAGGCTGTATTATAAATCCAGTCTTAGATTGTTTATATTCCATTTGTCCATAAGGGTCCACAGATACAAGTAATCCAGTATATTTGTAATAAAAACACTCCATAATGAGAAAATCGCCACATAAAGTCTGTTTTTACCATCAGAAAAGTTTGATCCTTTTAGCTGATGCTTTCCATCCTGCTAATCACCATAGCTTCCACAAGTAATTCATTTCAGGATTATTTTGGGGGGAATCATAAGTGCAAGAATGCCATCCATCAATCAAATCATTTTAGATGAATCTGGACACTTAATTTCGGAGAAAATCCTCTTTTTAATACCTGTAATGGTGGTTGTGCCATGTTCTGTTGTTTTTTTTGTTTTTTTTAGATCTAATTCCCTCTTTTCAGATGTTTGCTGTTTCAGTTTTATTAATGAACAGCAATTCATCGATTTCCTTCCACTTCATTTTTTAGCTGCTATGCGTTTGTCCTTCACGCAGAATCCCTTTAAAATACGTCTAACTTGGTTCTAATGTGACACAGTGCGGTACTTTTCCAAGTAACTGTAATCGTAGTGATTTACTTGTCTAGCACTATAGGTGTGGCGACAGTAGTGAAAGGATTTATTGAAGTGAATCTTAGTTAAAGAGTTTTAATGCTTGGTGTTTTTATATTGTCCTGTGAGCCACAGACCACTGTAACAATGATTTACTCCACTGTGACGAGCTGAATCTGAGCTGTGTTTCTGTGTGACCCATTTACATGTATTAAAGTGCACATTTTTTCCCAGCAGGGTCTCTGTGTGACGCATGTAAATCACAAACACAGCAAGTTAAAAAGAGTTTAAAGAAAAAGGGGGGGATTGATTTTGAGCTGCTGTGTAACGTCAGATGGCTCTGCATGAGCGTGTTCAGTGAGCTTTTTAGGTAAACACTGACAAATGGAGGCTCTGAATCACGATTTAAGGCAGTAAAGAGAAGCTGTCCTTGAAGAAATGAGAGAGTGTGAACTGACGCAGTTTTTTGCTTTTTGTATTCTTTACTTTCTTTGGTATAGAATAAAGATCTCAAGGTTTGCAACATAGAAGAAAAGGGACGTTTTTTTTTTTTTGATTAAACATTTTATAACAGCCGTGTGATAACAGCTAAAGGTTTGCCTGGAATCATGTTCAAAGTGTTTGAGGTGTATCATAATATGTCACCTACACCAAGATTGCCCCCTGGTGGTTAAATGTGCCATAAAACCTATAACTATGTATGAAAGGGATATTTACTTTAAGGTTTAGGGGAAAATGTCTTCCCTTTATATTCCTGAAAACCAGACAATCTCTTAAAAAAACCAAAACCGAACCAAAGAATTAAATAAAAAAAAACAGGGCAACAGTTCATTGTTTGAAATATTTAGATCAGGGGTCTTCAACGTTTTCCAGGCCAAGGACCCCAAACTGACGGCGAGATGGAGCAGGGAACCCACTAATTTTATGTATATTGTATGAAATAGTGTTATATCAAACTGGTCCTATAGTCACTCTATTACAGATGGAGTAATGTAACGAAAGTAATTTCACCCTGGGGTGATTAAAGTATTTTTGATTTGGAGTCCTCAGGTGCCCAGCTTGAAAGAGCTCATGTGTGTCGCTGAATGTGAGCATTGATGACTGAAAGACATCTTCTGCCTCCATTTATCTGTTTACTTCAGTCTGTTGAATTCATGATATTGTGTATTTAAAGATATTTCAATGAGTGGAAAAAATTGCACGGGGGGGAATATAAAAACAAGTCTAATCAACCAAAACCTTCTAGACCCCTATGCAGTACCTCTGTGGACCCCCTTTGGGGTCACAGACCACCCTGTTGAAGACCTCCAATTTAGAGTGCAAAAATCTATTTGCAACTCCCGAAACCTCAGATCTAATAGATGAAAACTCAGATCATACCTCAATATGACTAAAGTGCAACAACTTAATTTATCCATCATTTTTAAAATAAAGATTTTTTTTTTAAATCAATGTTGTGCCAAGGAACCTATCATGTATGGTTTCTCTGCCACCTCATGTTTATTTATAATTAATTCATTTAGAGTTATGTCTTTACTACAGGGGCCCTTGCCCCGTTGGCCCCGTGTAGGAGAACACACTGATGCTTGTTACATGTTGGCGGCGTCATATTGAATCTACATGCATTTGGTGTTTACAATAAAACTGCTCATTTTTACCCGTGTGCACTTTTGGCAGAATTCTGACTTCATATTAAGATTCAAACGTTTCTTTTTTTAGTAATTACTTTATGAAAATAAAAAAAATATCTTATATCGCCATTTAGTTTAAAAATATTGAGATATTATGATTGGTCCATATTCCCAGCCCTAAGCTGGGGATATGGACCAATGATGTTTTATCATCATTGCAAAGTTTTTGTTGGCAGCATCTCTTTAGCAGCCATTTTTATTGTCAATATTCAATAACCTCTAACTTTAAAAGATGGTTTTCCTGCAGTTCACAGCAAAAGGATGAAAGTTAACATGACTTTTGCCAAACTAAAATAACCCAAAACATAAACCTAGAAGTTCTTACGACTACATTTTTTACACTGACTTCTTTTAGTTTCAAGTTTTTACGGCTCAATGGTTTTTTAACTCTTATCTTTTATCATACAAATGGTGGATCTCTCAGTGTACGAAACGTTTATAGCAAATGACTTTTATTAGGGAGCAACATCCCAACAGGAAACAACGAACACAGTGATAACCAATGGAAGTATTGACACAACAGTGAGGATTTCTGCAGGAGCTTTAAGCTGCTCAGTCCTTAGAAAATCATTTATTTATACATTAGCATCAATTTACCATTAACATACTTCCAGGATTTCCTGTTAATTTCATGGCAGAAAAATGTAGTTTTAAGAACTTAAGTTTAAAGCACACGAGAAAAAAATAAATGTAGAAATGCTGATGGCCAAACGGGCTGCAGATCTGGATCCAGACATCACAAGATGAGAAAACATCTGAAGGCAGAATGCACACATGCTACTGATTTCTAAGCTTGTTAAGACACTGTAGTTTGTTTGGTTTTCACATTGATTTGACGCGCTTAAGGCGGAGGTACCATCACCATGCACCGGCTCAGGGTTGGCAGCTAGCTGTCTCAGGAAAGAAAATTCCCCCTTAAAGACTGTAAAAGTAGTTTTAGCCCTTATTACCGAGAACAGTTTAGGTTACAGACTTTAGTAGGTTATACTGTATTTTAAGGACCAACAGGAGGTGGTGCATTATTTTGAAGTATCTAAGAGCCGTCGCTGGAGTTTCAGTTTGGCTCCATAAATCCACACAGGGGCAGAAATGTGGGCCAAGCTCAAACAGCTTGGACAAAGAGCAGCAGTCTTTTTCACAGGATTCTGGCCTGGACTTTGACTAGGCCATCCCCAGAATTTAATCGTCCTGGTGGCAGATTTTAGCAGTTTGTCCTCCTGGAAGGTGAAAATCATCCCCCAACTCAAGACTTCTGCAGCCTCCAAAAATGATTCCGCTCTGCCTGAGCTTCCCTGTCCCTGCTTAAGTAACGCATTCCTATATCATGAGATCACACCCGCTGGGTCCAAGGTTCATGTTTGGCTTCACAATGATGAACTAATTGGTGTTGGTCTGTCCAGAAAATCCCAATAAAATACACGGAAGTTTGAAGTGGTGACAGTTAAAGATGTCTGAACAATAGACACAATTTAAGCCCTTTTTCTGGAAGGTTTCTGTGGGTTATTTTTGGAAAAGAAAAACAAATCCACTTAAACTGGTCAATGGTAAATCTCCCAGTCGAGCAGGAACTGGTCATTGAGGTTTCATCTAATACCAACTTTTCTCTTGTGTTTTTACCGAGATACTCTCTGTGAGCAGCTGCTTTACTTATTCTCACAGTAAATTAGATCTAAAGGTTTGAACAGTTGGAGAAAAGATTAAGACCAAAACTTTCTTCTAAAGAGGAAAAAAAAACATACATTTACCTGCTCAGATTAGAGGCAAATACACTTAAATGTGTACCTTTTTCATTAGTTTTTTAGTGTATTGCCTTTTGCACAGAAATGTTCTGAATAAAGCAAAATAGTTTATATTAAAAGATGTTGATTTTATGTCTGCATGTGAAAGAGGTAAAGAGTTTCCTGCTTTTGGTTTCTCTGCGTTTTGTAAAGTGAGATTTGAAAAAATTTGAATTCAGAATTGTTCGGAAAAAAATATTAATCTAAGGTTTTGGGAGTTTTTTTGCTTTTTTGCTCAGATTTTTTTCTCCAAATTATTTACTTCAGATTTACTTTGCACTTTACAGATCCCTCCTCTTCACTCCATACTAAAGATTATTTAAACTAAAGCATAGTTTGAAGCAATTTTCACCAGATTTTTAAGGTCTGACTTTAACTTTTTGCCACCAGAGGCGCTAGACCAGAAACTTCCAGGTTCACCGACAGAACTGCACAAGATTCTGATAAAAAAAACTTTGGACCAGTAGATCTTAAGCCTCTTTCTCAATAAAAAACTAGGATACACTTTTTTCAAACATGGTCGTCCCGCTAACAATTAGCATTTTGCCCCCTTCCTATTGACTAAAAAAGCTGATCTAACCCTCGATGGCAGCTGCATGTCTGTTGATATCATCATGCTGGGTTAGCGCTGATGATGTTACCAGCGCGATAGAAATCAGGACAATAAACAATGGAGAGCAACATGGAAGGAAACAGGGCGTAGTCAGTGTCTAATGTATTATGTCTGAATCCCTCTCACCAGAGCTGCACCATGTTTATCGAATGTAAACAGAGTTGTTTCTGTGTGTTAGATCAGACGCGACTGGCGCGGTATGTTGACTTCGATGCGTTGCGTTCAATGGAATCACGTAATTTAGTGGGTGTGGTGTTCCCACAGCATGCCGATCAGAGCCGAGGAGGTTTTAACGTGGGTCGCTTGCCGAGTTGTTTGACCTGGATAGACACGCGTCAATGAACTGTTCCCACTGCCACTGAAAGCCCATTGTTCCCTGGTTTAAACGGGTTTTTCGGCCAGTGGGAAAGGGGTATAAGAGTCCTGGAATTCCTGGTAAAGGCGAGAAGACATTGACCTCTAGATGAAATCCTCCATCAGATAACAAAAAATATGTCTGCTAAAGGTCAGAGCTAAGTAAGCTAACAGTTGCTGTTAGCTTATTTAGCTCTTGTGTTTAAGGGAGGCTCAGACTGACGGAAAGCAGCGCTTTCCCATTCAGGGACGGATCTGACCCTCAGAGGGAGCAATAATTTGCATCTGGAGATGAAGACGGAGCTGAAAAGTCATTTAATGAGTGTGGTTTAAGCTAACGTGGGTCAAAAGCTACATAGATTTGCTTTAAAAGGGATACCTTCTGGCAATCTGACTGATATACAATCTGATGGTATTAAAACTTAGCTGCTTAAATCTGTAAATCAGCATAATATTTAGCACTGACCCCTGGTCGTCAAAAAAAGGGACGTTTTTTATCAAAATAATTCAAAATATAGTGCATAAAACTGAGAAATGTTGTTTTACGTTAGTGTTTAAAGCAAATATAAAAAACATTTTTAAACTGATTTAGAACCAATTCACCTGCAGAGCAGAACAATATTATTTCAAGTCTTTCTGAGGTTCCTAACACTTAAGCTGAGAGCTTTTAAAAACTACTAGCAGTTAATTTTTTTTTTATTCTACTTGGCAAGCATTGAAGGATGTAAACAAAGAATTAGATGTGTTGTTTCAAGAACTGTTTGTATGAAAATGGCGTTTATGTAAAAAATACACCCGAATAAAAAGATAAGGATGTGTGGAAAAGTGCATGTTCTCATTCATGTGGACATTAGAGTTGCCCACAGAGAGCATCTCAGTAAATAACATTTCCCTCCTCATCCTCAGCCCCTCTTTTTCTCTGTGTGAATGGCAGCTTTGTTTCTGCTGTCGGCATCAATTAAATCTTCCTCCCATAAACAATCACGGTGGAGAGATGGAAATGAGCTGCCCCACCGGCGGCCCCACACACGATGAACCCTTCCAACATTTTCTGAATCCCAAATTCCTTTAGTGAGCAACCAGAGGTTACTTCGACTTGGACTTCTGTTTTAGCGCTGGAGGAGCTGAAGGCACCGGTTTGGAGGCCAGGGCAGAGGAAGGTCTCACCATCTGGTACAGGCCGTCAAACCTGAGAGAAGACGAGGAAAAACATACCAATAATTTATTAGCTGGTATTGATATTATTACAGCAAGTATATGGAGTGAAGTTTGTTCCATTAAGTTGCAAGCAAACAACACATTTGTAAATGTTTAAATGTGAAAAATAAATGCGAACCAGAAATGAATCTTTGAAAAACATTTGAATCAAGAAAAGCTTTTCAGAGAAACGTTGTTGTTTTCTCTTATTTCATCTTTTTCCAATTTAAGTTTGGAAATAAAAAGCTAAGAACTCTTTTTACAGATTTTATATACAAAAAATATATATATATTGTTTTTTCAAATACTTTATTTTTTTAAATTTGAATTTTTCAAATGTATTTTTTAGGGATTTGTTTGTAAACAGGTTTTATATTTCTCTCTCTAAGCTTCATGATGTGCGTTCTTCTCAAATTATGTTTAACTAATCACATTTTCTTCACTTTCAGTCCAATATAAACTCGCTGTTGCTAACATCCAGCAGGCCGACAGAAGAGAACAGAATGTGATCTATAAAATATGGAAAAAATCGTAAAACTCAATTTGAAAAAAAAAGAGTAATTTGAAGAGAAGAAAGCATAGCACAATTTTAAATATTTGATAAAAAAATAAAATATGAAAAATAGATTGAAAAACAGCAAAGTCAATGCCAAAACCATTTTTTTTATTAGTATGTTGTCAAAGGTTCATTTCTGGATTTTATTTTTGTTTTTGTTTATTCAAATTTCTATTTTAAAATGCTTTGCTTGAAATAATAATGTAATAAAATTCACTCCGTGAAATGATGTTTTGTTTTTTGGAGCAGATAACTTGCAGATTTCTGATTTTCTTCATAAATGCTCTCAGTGCTCTGGCCACCTTCCTTATCCGGACCTGCCATCAGAACCAGAGGTCAGGATCCCTGAAGCGAATCTCTATCACTGGGTCAAAGATCAACTATTCGTTAAAAAAAATAAACATTTACCTGTTGTTTTTTGTATAACAAAGGAAGAGAGAAAACTGCAATTACAGCTGCAAGCAAAAACAAAAAGTAATTAAAATCCAACTTTTCATAAAATGAAGGATGTTCAGCTATAAGACCCAGGCAGACGGCCAGCAGCAGGGCCTAGTGTTGGTTTGTTTAGGTACTGGGTGAAGTCACTTACCAGCGATGATCAGAGTCAGCCCATTGGTGGCAACGCCCACATATGTCAGCAGATAGAGTAGCAGCACAAACTGAGACACAGAGGATAAGTTTGATTAATCCCAATGTGATCACAGATAAACAGCAGATGGCGCTCCAACGCCATCAGAACGCTCTTTAATTTCAAACGAGAGGTGCATCGAGGAGAGGTTAATCAGATCAAAGTGTGTTTTGGAGATACTTTGACATGAGGGCAGATTAGCTGATAGGATGGTTCTGCTTAGCTGCAGTTTTTCAAATAGTTACGTTGTTTTCTTTTAATTAAATCATAGAAATAAATCACTCAATATACTTTGAATGAACTATAGTATTTATACATATACAAACATAAACACATAAATTGCATTGGTTATTTATCTTTAATTACATGTGACTCTAGATGACTCGCAGACACACTTTTCATTCTTCCCCATAAAACAAACGTAGTTCTCAAAAGAGCATTTGTTATGTATTTGTGATGTTTAACATCAGTATAGTCCTGGAATAATTACCTACTATTTAGGGTCATATCTTCAGTTTAGGGCTGAACAAATTGTCAATTTAGGACATTCCAACTCTAAGTGTCTTTGCTGCCACCCTCTGGTTTATAGAGGAACTGCTTGTTCTGGAGTCTGCATGGGAACAACAAACTCTGACAGGGAAGATCAGTGATTGGCTAAAGCCGGGCATACACTGAGCTATTTTTTCAATCGTTGTACACAGCTACTGCTCACACTTTACGACAAAATCGCAGGGTGTTGTCGTAATGTGCAAGATCACAGCTCACAATGCATATTCTCACAATGTGCAACCCGACGTTGAGATGCAATCTAACTGCTCACACTGTATGTCTAAAAACCACGTGAGACTCAGCTCCGCTGTGAGATGGCGCGAACCGGACTTGTCTATCCAGAAGCTAAACGAGCAGAAGAGGAATATAAAACTCACTAGAATGAAAAATCGTACGGTGTATGCCCGGCTTTAGAGATCACCATGATGGCGGTCATTAGCCCTGATGGATTTAAAGCAACACACTTTTGATTAGGGATTCTAGACCTGTCATTTTAAGGTCTGGGGAGACAATGACATATTCTCCATTTCCACTAGCCCATGCTGAGTTCGGACCAAGCTTGGTTCTTAAAATCATTTACACATCACGCTATATTGATTCTTTGCCTCCTATCAGAGATCCACAGTGCTACGGGTCTCTAGGAAGGAATTACGCAAAAAAAAGGCTGCGCCCATAACATTCAGGAACCTCTTTTCTTGAAAGCGTCCTCTGCCCAAATTTCAAAGGGAGCCTCATTCTCTGCATCCCTCCTTATCCCAGGGTGCACCACACTCTTTTGATACCATTTATTGTTAATAGGCTGAAAAGAAGTGTTTTGAGCAAGTGAAGAGATCTGTGAATTACAAAGTCAGACACGCTGGAACCCACGAAATTAGTCAGCTGACTGTAAATAGGAGATGATGTGGTCTGCTCATTCGCTCTTTGTTATCAGAGGAGCGAGCCACAGATGAATCGCACCAAGCCCTACTGTTGAACTGGCAGTAGATTCAGCAAGGTTCTGTTGTGTCTGGTGCGGTCCAGTTGTTGCGTTCCATTTACAATCATCAGTTATCTTGGTTGCTTTGATTGGACCGTATCAAAAGGCTAGTGTAAATAGGGTTATAGTTACCAACCTAGCAACTTTTTAGCAATATGTAACTATCAACAAATCTCTGCGCTGTTGGAGACTTGGAGCTTAGAGTTCACTGTCCTCAGCGAGCAGTGAGTGCTGCTGCAAGCCCCGCCCCCCTCCAAATCCAATCAGACTCAGCACCAAACTGGCTGCAGTCTCTCCTGTGTTTCTCCACTGAAAATAAGTTAGATGTGCGGAAAGCTTAACTGGTCTGGATTTAAAAGCAGGATGAAAATATATAATTCAATTTTATGTTTTTGTATAACTCCAATAACTGCTGCACTAAAATAGATCCTCCCTGCATTTCATTCATACAAAGACTCATCCACTGTGTGTGTCCCTGTTACTTTAAGTTTGATTACATGTATGTAGTTTTGGATCAGGTAAAACATTTTAAAAAATTAAAATCTTAAACATATTCAGAGTGTTTTTATTACTTGCTGTATTTTCTTTTCTTCTACCAAAGGATTACCAACTTTGTAACCAGGCTGATGAAGCCATGTAGTGACTTCAGGTTTTGGCACAGCTAATATGGAAAAGTTGGCAGCACTGAACTGTCTCTAAATGACCCAGTCTCCCTCTGTGTTCTGGTATCAGGCCAGTTTGGACCAGTAGATCTAGCAGTCATGAAGTTACTGCTAAAGAAGAGGAAACATTCACCTCTAAATGAAATCCTCCATCAGAGAACCAGAAATATGCCTGATCAGCTAAGGGTCAGAGCTAACAGCAATTCTCCGTTTGGTTAACACTGGTGTTTAAGGGGAGCTCAGACTGATGTAAAGTGGTGCTCTGAGTCACATGACCCATTCAGGGACGGATCCAAAATATGATTACAGGCACTTTTCACTGTCAGGGCCCCACATCACACCCAAGATGCACAAAATGCTTTTAAAAAGGGTTAAATGATTTTAAAACAAAATATGATGGCAACTATGGTTAATAAAAGGAAAACACAGCCATGATTTATGACCGGGTGATCCTCAGAGAGGTTTTTGATTAGTTTGTCAAAGTTATTTTGAAATATGAGTCAAAAAAAAGTCACAAAAAAGAAATGGACAGCAGAAAAAGCCGCGTCTGTCCTTCATTATTATTGGTTAATATCAAATCCTCTAATATTTATCAAATTTAGCTCATACTGGGTTAAAACTGATCAAATGTGGGCCTCTTCAGTCCAGCCTTGTTCTAGGTCAAATATTTTTAGATAGCTGCAAATGTTTGAAATGTTTGCAGATGTACAGAAGCCATTTTCTTATCCTTTTTTTTCAGCCTTCTATGGTATATTTTTCTGTCTTTCTCACTTTGAAGACTAGCTAAGCTCATTACACATCTAGCTGCATGCACGTTGTTACTGAGAAGAAAAGCTGATATGGTACACATTTCTCAATAATAAAAATATAGGAGAGGAAATGTTTTTACTACCACTAGATGGCGCCAAACATTTATGAATCCAACAGTTTTGCTCTGGAATTAGCTTTTTTTTTATTACTATCACACCTTCTTTCTTGCTCTTTTCTTTTCAATTTTTGTCATGACAACCATGTGCTTTATGTCTTAAACCAATACAAAACGGTGTATAATCTAAAGTTGTAAGTAAATTTTAATTTTTCAATTTTCTTTGCAGATAAAAATCTCCAGAATGTGATGTGCATTTTTCTTTTGCTCCCCTGAGAAAGGTTCTGTGGAGACATATTTACAGCTGATCGATGCTCATCTAAAGCCTGAAATTCCTCTGATTCTTTTCTGCAAAACGTCATATTATACTGAAAATGTATGTAAGTGGAAATCATGGAGTCGGATCCTCTGTCAGACGTTGGTCTGTACCTTAGTTGGATCAATTAGAGCATTTCCTGTTTGAAGGTGCAGCCAGTATTGTGCCTGCGTGTGCCTCCTCCACTTTCTGTTGTTTAAAATCTCAATAGAAACCTTTAGTTTGAGGTCCTAATGTTATCAAACATGTGTAAGATGACAATAAATATGTAAATGCAGCCCATGTCATCACCACCTTGGGGGTTACCCCCATAAGCGTCGTTAGACCTATTTAAGGGTGGCTTCAGCCACCCTTTCTTTGGCATTAGCCACCCTATAATTATTTTGCGATTTTAAAAAATATATTTTTTTTTTCTGTATTTATTTTTTCCTCATATTTTCCCAAAACAAATGCAGTAAAGCACCGAATAAAAGCCATAAAGAAGACAAGTTAATCTGAACAATCATAGGCGTAACTTCCTTAAGGACTGGTGTGGACATGTCCCCACCAATATTTTGTACACGTATTTTGCTTTCGGTGCTGTGTATATCTGATTAAAACCCCATTCATGCCGCTCCTCAGAAAGAAAATAAAAAAAGTTCTCCCCGCTGCTCACCGTCCACAAACCCCGACAAAAAAACTCAGAAAAAAGAATCTGTTGCCTCTCGCTTTCTCCCCATCACCCCCCTCCAACCTCTCCCCATAACATTTGAATTGAAGATATCCGCGGGTGGCGGGTCGGGTTCGGTAGTCATCCTAACGGGTTCGGGCGGGTGCGGGTTGGTAAAACTCGACCCATGCAGGTCTCTAAGCTACACTACATTCAGTATCGTTGCCATAGAAACAGACAACAGCGCCAATATATCAGAATTATACTAAAACACACGCAAATAATTTCCCACATAAAAAACAGGACTTTCAGTCCATTACAGTTTTCCGTTTTTAGAGGGTTGTTTATTTTGCGTTTATTAAGTGATGGCTGTGGTATATTAGCTTTCACTGCTATAAGCTTTCGCAGCAGTGATTGATTAATTTAAACACCTGCTCTGCTGATGGTCTATCGGAGTTGGTGTTTAGGTTGAACATAAAGAACACCTTTTATTTGAAGCTTCTTGTAGCTACTGTTTTAACCCCTTGAACCCTACGGACCCACCGGCGGGTCCAGCTGCTACATGACCTCGTCATTTTACCAAACCCCCAGTATTGATGTAAAAAACATATTTGGCACAGTTTGGTGACATTTATGGATAAGTGTGCCAAAATGGCCTCTCCGCCTAAGAAATTTCTCACTAATACCATTCTAAAATAAATATGATTCATCTGATTGAGTCCACATTTTGTATATTTTTACACAACATTTAGATTTGAAAGACTGTACTACTTTTTTGTGCTATAAATAATATTTTGGTAGTGTTTTGCAATGTTTATTTCAAAGAAAATGTTGGCGAGGTTCAAAAAATGCAAAATATTTTGTATTTTGTCCCTAATATTTCAGGCAGGGTCAAAGCTACAATGGTGCTGACACCAGAAAACCATTCTATGACATCTTACCTTTACAGATGTACCAAAGGTTTCTTCTTAAATCTAATAGCTTTGAGGCTATAAGTTATTTACTTTTGTGTGTTTTTGTCAGGCAGAAATTTATTTATACCCCCTTAGGGTGTAAGAGGTTAATCCCGGCTTTACTTAAAACTTTTTCCTGACTTTGATAGTGTTGCCATTCAGTAGCAAGCACTGCGCCCCTTTTTCTTTTATATGTACACGTACATTTAAGATTTAGCGTGTTAAGTTGACAACTCATGAGCAAGCTGCTTTTTGCAATCTAGCAGGAAGGTAAGGATAGGATCTTGCAGGTGTGACGTCACTCTGCAGGGGGTCCAAAGATAAAAGATTTAAACAATTTTGGCATTGGAATTTCAGATTTAAGGGAGTTAGAAAGTTCACTTAGTAAAAGTGCAAATAATAAATCTGATACCGATTACTTTTAAGCTGGTTGAACATACTGCGACAGACTGGTGACCTGTCCAGGGTGATCCCACCTCTCACCCAGAACGTGGCTAGAGATATGCACCAGCACCTCCTGATCCCACTGAGGGATAAGGTTAAAGAAAATGGATGGTTGAACATAGTCCGCTCTCCCAGATTCTATCAAATCAGTATTGATACCCTCAGGGGCGGATTTAGGAAATTTGGGGCCCTAGGCAAAGACAGGCAGGGGGCCCCCTGAGAAGAAAACCCATAAAACAGACCCATTCTACAGATAGAGAAATGTTAATAGAATAGACATCCATTATCTGTTCTAGGTTTTGTCCCTCTCTTCTTGTCCCTTTTTTCTCTCTATTTATCAGCGTTCTGATGGCATTTTAGCCAAAGGATTTTTATCAAAAACATAATTAATGTGCACAAATAAGGATTAGTTGTATTAACCATACATGGAAACAGAGTTTTATGGGGCCCCCAGAACCTGGGGCCCTGGGCAACTGCCTAGTATTGCCTAATGGTAAATCCCCCCCTGGATACCCTACTAGTGGATGTTCTTGACAGAAAGACGGAGTTGCTTAATCATATTCTGCTTAAGGTCCCATAAGATCTTGTCCGAGTCCTGGTTTAAAAGTAAATTAATTTTAAAAAGTGACCCAAAATTGACTGTCAATAAATGTTCTACAAAATTGATATATTTATTTGATTTGTACTGTCTGTTTAGATTTATGTGATATTTTTTGCACAAAATATATAAGTGAATATTGTAACAGTTATGTTTTCAACTGTAAGCATTAAATTGATAAATGTTATTCGCATTTTTTTGGCTTTATCCTTTCCAACAAAAAAAAAAAGGCGTCGCGCAGGGACCTCCCTTTCCTTATGAGCCGTCCCCACCAACTTTCAACACAAAGTTACACCCTTGTCTTAGACAACGCCTTAGCAGGTGCACTGAAAAAATTCGGCGCGCGCTACGCGTGCGCATTATCTTCTAGGGGCTGAGCCACCCTTGTGTCTTAAACCTAGAGACGCCCCTGGTTACCCCTCTCAGACCTTAACAGAGTCGATCATGTTCTCGATGAAGAGAAGTCGTTTGATCTCTGTGACAGCAAACGCAATCAGCAGCACCACCTCTTCGACCAGCATCACCGTCTCCTTATCCGTCAGCGAGCTGTCATAGTCCAAATACGACCTGAGGAAACAGAGTCCCCAACACCCAAATCAGTCAGTTCAGCTCTTCAAATTTAAGAGACCTTTGTTTCTTTCTGACAGGGAAAGGGAGATCCGGTGAGCATGCAAAAGTAAACCAGAAACGTGGGCAGCAGAGCTCACTGGAAGGGGTGGACTCCAGGGTTCCAGCGCAGAACTTCCAGCAGTTTGTAGTAGAGACGAAGAGAAGCAGTGATGCACATGATGCCCAAGCAGACATGAGAAAGCACGGTGATGGCACTCAGCTGGAAGAGGCTGGCCAGGCCCATCACCAGCCCCGTGAAAACCACACCGGTCCACCTCATGTTCCTCCAGTACACCAGATCCATGACTGCAACACACAGAAGAAAGTGAGGTGATGGGAACCCATTCACATCCCCACACCCACCACCAGATATGCTGCAGCACTTAGATGAGAAGAGCTAATCTTCAGATATCTTGGACAACTATTGGAGAAGTGAGGAAGACAGAATTGAAAAAGAGTTCAAATTTAGGTCAGATCTGTTCATATTGTATATTATGATTTTTCATTTTGGGGTATTAACACGTAAATACTAAACTATTCAATAATTTATGTTAATAGAAATGCAAAAAAAACTTTCTAATTAAAGAGTTACAGGGAGAGAATGGGAATGTTTTAATGTGAACAAAAATATATGTCTGAAAGGTGTAACGTCTAATTTCTTCCACAGCACGACCCTCACCTGGACTCGTACATACACCAGACACACATCTCATCTCAGTTCTTTAGTTTTTTCCATTTTAAGAAGGAAAAATCACTAATCTAATGGAATTTGCTTTCGGAAATTTTCGAGCAGACCTCAGCCCTGAGCTAAATCTGGGCGTTGGTGAACACAGCTGCTGGATCCGTACTTAACAAATGTTTACACTCTGGACCGTGTCAACAAGATGACACCCCACCCAGGTGAAAAAAACTCAGCAAATAGGCAAACTTTCTGTTGCCTTTTGTATCTCTGCTTCTGTCTCCTTGAAATCCGTCGGCCGATGGTCGCTTACAATGAGCCTGGTTCTGCTGGAGGTTTCTTCCTGTTAAAAGGGAGTTTTTCCTCTTGGTGTGGGGGATTGCCTTTTAGTCAATGAGTCAATACAATCTCATGATTTGTATTTGACACAATTTCACTATATGATTTGGTGAACTGTAAAGTGCCTTGAGATGACGTGTTGTTAATTGCCCCTATATAAGTAAACTGCATTGAATTGAATTGAAAATACAAAAAACTAAATGGTGCTTCATTAGTGCAGGTTTGTGCAGTTAAAATTATCATTTGTGAAACTGAATTTCTTTTTTTTTTTTTTATAATGTGTTCTGCTGTTGTTTTAGAGATATTAAAGATGATTTTTTTTTAGGCCATCCAGGTCAACTCTCCTGCAGTAAGCTCCAAAATGAAGAAAAATTATATGCTTTTTCTGTGCTACCTGATTCATGCAGGTCAAATTTTGTTTTTAAGATAATTTTTAATCTCTACCGATGACATCACCATCGCAGCAGACGTTAGTGCTTGTGTTTCAGTATATACAATTATTCTGTAACATATCCTCTGTAAATTCCTAGTCATCTGGGTCTTAGAAACCAAAAACAGACTTAATTTGGAAGGCAACCGGACTTTCTCTCACTTTTTTTTAAGACTTTTCCACAACTATCCAGGAATCTCTGTCCATTCTGTTGGCTCGCACCAGACAAAACTAGTTGGAGTGCTGATGGATTTAAGTAGCCCAGAGGACCAACTCCATGGTTACAGAACCAATTTAAGCAGGTTTGTAATTGATACTGTTATTTTTTTTTTCTAATCTCAAAATTGCATGTAAGAAGACATTTAGAATTGCATGTCTGTTAAAATGATGGTTTCAGCCAAAATACGAAATTAGATTTTCCATTTTATCTAAAAGCAATTAAATATTTTGTGTTGTATCACATTTATTTATTGCCTGCTTCACCAAACCTGACATTGATCTCATGGATGAACATTTCAACATGGGATCAAGCAAGTTTCCCTCTTTAACATTAGATGAACACATGCAAAGCTGTCGAAAGTATTAATGTTTATTACTCCAGTAGAAGTATAAATCTTACTGTTTAAAAACACTTTAGTAGAAGTGAAAACTTAAGCTTTTTACTCCTGTAAAAGTGTAAATGTACCATTTCTAAAACTACTTAAAGTATAGAAGGAAAATTAATGCATGGAAAAATGTTAAGGACAGAAGCTTTGCTGCATTACCCTATTAAAGGAACATTTTTCTACAATTCTGGATGATAATTCCTTAGAGTTCATTTTCTTAGTTTTATAATTAATGGTAAGGGTGTCAAATTTAACTTTGCATTATCTAGAAAAACTATTTATCTTGGAATGTGGTGAACAACAAGTTGGGGCAGCACCGAGTCCAACCACAAAGAAATTAATTGTCAGGATGAAACAAATTATTTTAGTTTTTTTTGTTTTGTTTTGTTTTTTAATACCAACAATGAAAATTAGCTTAATGGAACAAAATTAATTAATCTATTTTTAAAATTGAAGTAGAACTAACAAGTTGTCTAAAATATAATTACTCCAGCAAAGTATAGCTAGCCAACCTTTCTGCTTAAGTAACAAAGTATGTGTACTTTGTAAACTTGACGCCTCTGATCAGCACAGCTGAGAAGCAGCTGCCTTTCATCATAAAGCTGTTTAAAATGCTCAAAGTTTCACTGAGTCCAAAATCTAATCCCAGCATTTTGTATTGAGGACCTGGAGAGGGAGTGAAAAACAAATACAACTATTTCAACTTCAAAAGCATTTCATGATTGCACAATTTGAATGAAATTATTAAACAGAAGTTGTAAACTGTATTTTTCAATCTATTGTTAGATACTGCAGTTCGAATCCAGTTTCTAGAATCTGGAAATAAATTAAAACATTTAAAAAGGTAATTCCTGTTCATGAGGTTTTTATGCTTTCTGTTTCTAAACACTTTGAACGTACCAGCATCCTATAATAGTTCATGAAACTTGGCTACCTGGCAACAACCAATCAGAGCTCTCTTTCTTCTGTAGTTCAATTATCACACATTAGTTAACAGGTAACGGTCAGCAGACGACAGCAAACATTTTCTGTCTAAATGTGGACTTTCACCTCTTGTTTTCAGAAGGGTTTATGCGTCCGTGAGACTGTAGGCTTTCCTCTTTTATTGTCTGGTTAATTGAAAAAATATAGTAGGTTACTGATTTCTCTTTTCTATGTTACCTGGTATGTTACTTATTTAAACTGTTTAATTTGTTTTTTTGACGCAATAATAATTATTTTCTCATTATCTCATTGAAAATGTGTTAATGTAGCTTAATTACTTTTAATTAGGTTGTTTTCTTTGTGCTTCTTAAGCTCACAGACTTGCTATCAGTGTATCAACCCTCCAGACCACTCAGGTCTTCTGGCTCCAGCCTGCTCTGCATACCTAGAACCAGAACTAAACATGGAGGAGCAGCATTTAGTTCCTATGCTCCACTTATCTGGAACAAACTTCCAGAAAACTGTAAAAGTGCGGAAAGCCTGAGTTCCTTTAAATCAAGACTAAAAACACATTTGATTAGGATTGCCTTTGACTGTTCTAGATAAACTGTTCAACTGAAACATCATTAGTTCATCATAATTAGTTGCTGTTTTATTTTCTTTATTCCAACAGTTTTTATTTGTTCTTTTTTTTTTCTGCATTATATATATATATATTTTTTTTTTCCTATTTGCTTTGATCCTGTTTTATTTTCCTATATTTTAATCATGTAAAGCACTTTGCATTGTCTTTGTACTGAATTGTGCTATACAAATAAATTTGCCTGCCTTGCCTTTACTAATGACGCATTTAAAGACCTTTGGAAAGCTTAAATGCTGTTGGAATTTCCTGTGTTTGGGGACAATTGACAGATCTAGCCATGTCTTCTCTTCTGTTTAACTCTTAAAGGTATAGAGGATGTCCTTTTATTTCCGGGTGGATCATCTAAATAAGTGGTCCTCCTAATTGTCAATCATTTTGATGATTATGTTTACGTCAGGCCGTCCTACATGTGCGTCCCGTTAGCTATCTTTGTGTGCACATGTGCACTTTCGGGCGTATATCTGTGGTGACGATTTCAGACAGTCTTTGAAGCTTACCTTTCTCACCGCGGTTCTTTGAAAATGGCCGAGGGTCGTAGGAGAAAAGGTGTCTACGAAGTGTATTAAGAATAAGAGAAAGTCCTCAGAAAAGGCAGATATATCCCAGAATGCTTTGCATGGAGAGCTCTCTCAAGCATCTAACACAGCCATTAACAAAATGACATCAGTTAATCCTGTGGAGCCGAGTGAGAACAGAGGTGAAGTTGAGGGCGGGTTGTCAGAGTCGAGCGAGCGGCAGAACGGTTTTGAGCAAGGGTGTGCAAGTTTAAAAGATGCACCTTGTTTTCAGTGCACGCTCAGTACAGTGGCATCAAAATTACACCATAGATGTTGAGCAAAAAAAAAACGAAATACAAAGTTTGTCTGAAAATTGTTGGGACTACCCAAAGTAACACATCCAACCTGCACCACCTATAGCACAGCCATGCTATTGAGCTCAAAGTTGTGCAAAAGCCTTCATTGAGCAAAAATGTTTGTTTAAGAGGAAATATTTTCTCCTGTTCAATGAGACATTACTGAATGTCTAAACCTAAATGGGTACAAAATGTTTATATTTAATTAAAAATAATATGTAAAGTGATTTATTCAGTAAATGAATTATAAATAGATCAGTTGGATTTCCTGCACATGCTTTTATTTTCACATAGAAGAGCCGGAACATTTATGGTGCATTTATTGTTATCGAGGTAAAACCTCCCAATTTACCATCAAACTGACTTGAGGTCATATCGCCCAGCCCTACTAGCTGCCGCCACAAACAGCACAGCACCAGCATGAGCACTGCCAACACTATCGTCAGAAAATCAGACTGTCTTCAAAAAATATTTGAATCCAATGCAACACTGCATGTGAAGATGCTGTTGTGTCTGAACACAGCCGTGCATCACCACTCACACGCTTCTAATCAAGGTCAATCTGAATTGTTCCAGGTAATGTTTCCAGATTCACACATAGCTAAATCTGTGGAAAATAAATCTAGCACACTAATGGCTCAAATGCTAACAAAATATAAAACCCTAAGAAAGAGGTATCTGAGATAAATATAAACTGAAACATTTTGAGAGTTGGAACTGGAACTGAAAGCAAACCAACTGCGACGCATGCAATAATCATCTTTTCTTTTTTTTTAAATGAATCATTTGTACCAGATGTACCATGATCTGTATGTTTTTGTATCCACTGAAGGGCTGAAACAATTATCGGATTAATCGATTATTGAAATAATCGGCAACTATTTAAGTAATCAGTTAATTGATTAAATTATTCTTTAGTTACAGATTTAATCCAATATTTTCTAATATTCAGTTAAGTTAATATCCAGTTAAGTTATATTTCATTTTTAGTGCTAGGTCTTAAAATTTTCTCAAGGTTCTTTAGAATACATCCATTTTTATATAGTTTCTTTCTTGTCATGGGTATTTGTTGATGGCATTAAAATTATTTCAAAGAGAACTAAATAGCATGAAATTAGAGTTAGTCATTTCTGTATAAACTCTGAATAAAAGTGAGAATGATTCATTACTTCTCTGCAGCCTTTCTTTGGTCACTGATGGATGTGACTGCATGCCACAGCAATCATAGCCCCATAATCACAAACACTGATCTCTTGGACATTTTATCCATTTCAAACAGTATCATACAACAAGTATCATAAAAACGTGTGATTTTTAGAAATAAACTGCATTTAGATATATGTATACGTTTGTTAATGCTGTTATGAAAAAAGACAATTTCTGACCATTTCTTTGAGCTTTAAAACTCCATTAATCCTAATTTATCGTTTAGAAGATTAATCAAAACAATAAACAATATAATACCCACCCCTATTCACCATCAAGTCATTTCATGCACATAACTCTTTACTCTAAAGCATAAAATCAGCAATTGTCAATTATTTCCTCATAAACATAAACCGTCCCAGTCTGTCCACTAAAGAAAAACTGGACTCAGACTTTAACCAGAACCTGGGTTTAAAGGAGAGAAGGGGAACCTATCCTTTCTCTCCATTGATTCTCCAAGCTTTTAGCTGTCATTTGTTATTTCCTTACGTTTGGAGGCCATTTCGGCGGCGATCTCCCCTCGCTTCCTTCAGTCCTCCACTGCTGGCTTGGCTCTGCCAGGCTTTTTTTGGCCTCCCCAGCTCTGTCAGCAGTATAAGGCAGGACTGGCCTAATTTTATCCCTCACTGGATACACCCAGTGAGGGATCACTCACATACAATCTAGGGAACCTGAGACATGTCTCCTCAGCTTCCTGGGACCCTCATGGCTTCTGAGGCAGCGTGTGGCTTTCCTGCACACAGAGGCCACTGCGACGAGGAGCAGATGAGGAAACAACCCAGATCTGCAAACAGTCTCCTGCACCAGCTGTACATGGCAAAATCGCTAAAGCACACTGAGGATGCATCTCATCATGCAGGAGGTCACAGTCTCAATTCTTACAGATTCAGCTGGTTTACCCTCCTCATGCAAAATGCCGCTTTAAGCCGAACTCCACTTTTTGTGTCACTGTTTCATTTCAAGGTTTATGTACAAGGGCGAACTAAACCATTGAATCATAACCAGGTTCAGCCGTTTTGTTTTAACTCTGACCTCAGTGGGGAAACTGATCTGTGACCACGTGGTCATAATCTGCTTCTTTCTGAAACATCCCTGAAGCCCAGAACAGACCAAAATCGTGATGTTTAGCACTCATTGAAAGTCAGTGAGGATGATTTCGTGCAGGGAGCTGCGTAGCTCCGACTGAGATAGAGCCCAGGTCTATTTTTGTCAGACTACGCAGCAATTCAGCAGCAATTTCATGGGTCTGACAGGAAGAGAGGTTACAAAGTAAAACACATCTGCTTTGGGGGAAAATACTAAATAAAATCTGTTAATCACAGGGGGAAAGAATCAGTTTGGAGTCACGCATTGTGTGGACTGCATGCAAGCAGGACAGACTGTTGCAAAAACAATTAACGAAACAATAAAATAGAAAACTTTACCCATGATTGGAGTTACAGAGCACAGAAAATGGATAAAGTAGTGATCCTTTTTGAGCTTCACAAAAAGCAAAATAAAGAGGGGCAGACAGAGCAGTTAATTGCAGCGTATATCTCTCACCTCTTTTTTAAAAAAAGAAAGAAAAACTTGGATAAACTTCCCAGATCTCTCTCTGAGAATCACCTCTCTGCCTCAGTCAGAATAGAAACCGTCCCACAGCCTTTATTGCTGTTTGTTTCTTTGCTTTAGACGTACACTCACCGGCCACTTTATTAGGTACCCCATGCTAGTAACGGGTTGGACCCCCTTTTGCCTTCAGAACTGCCTCAATTCTTCGTGGCATAGATTCAACAAGGTGCTGGAAGCATTCCTTAGAGAGTTTGGTCTATATTGACATGATGGCATCACACAGTTGCCGCAGATTTGTCGGCTGCACATCCATGATGTGAATCTCCCGTTCCACCACATCCCAAAGATGCTCTATTGGATTGAGATCTGGTGACTGTGGAGGCCATTTGAGTACAGTGAACTCATTGTCCTGTTCAAGAAACCAGTCTGAGATGATTCCAGCTTTATGACATGGCGCATTATCCTGCTGAAAGTAGCCATCAGAAGTTGGGTACATTGTGGTCATAAAGGGATGGACATGGTCAGCAACAATACTCAGGTAGGCTGTGGCGTTGCAACGATACTCAATTGGTACCAACGGGCCGAAAGAGTGCCAAGAAAATATTCCCTACACCATGACACCACCACCACCAGCCTGAACCGTTGATACAAGGCAGGATGGATCCATGCTTTCATGTTGTAGACGCCAAATTCTGACCCTACCATCCGAATGTCACAGCAGAAACCAAGACTCATCAGACCAGGCAACGTTTTTCCAATCTTCTATTGTCCAATTTCGATGAGCTTGTGCAAATTGTAGCCTCAGTTTCCTGTTCTTAGCTGAAAGGAGTGGCACCCGGTGTGGTCTTCTGCTGCTGTAGCCCATCTGCCTCAAAGTTCGACGTACTGTGCGTTCAGAGATGCTCTTCTGCCCACCTTGGTTGTAACGGGTGGTTATTTGAGTCACTGTTGCCCTTCTATCAGCTCGAACCAGTCTGGCCATTCTCCTCTGACCTCTGGCATCAACAAGGCATTTCCGCCCACAGAACTGCCGTTCACTGGATGTTTTTTCTTTTTCGGACCATTCTCTGTAAACCCTAGAGGTGATTGTGCGTGAAAATCCCAGTAGATCAGCAGTTTCTGAAATACTCAGACCAGCCCTTCTGGCACCAACAATCATGCCACGTTCAAAGTCACTCAAATCACCTTTCTTCCCCATACTGATGCTCGCTTTGAACTGCAGGAAATTGTCTTGACCATGTCTACATGCCTAAATGCACTGAGTTGCCGCCATGTGATTGGCTGCTTAGAAATTAAGTGTTAACGAGCAGTTGGACAGGTGTACCTAATAAAGTGGCCGGTGAGTGTAGATCTCATTATGTTTTTGATATATGAACATTCTCTGTCTGTTCTGGTCTGCGATGCTGCAGACTCGTTAAGTGGAGCTTTGCTTTATAGAATACACCTCTGGTTTTTTATTTACTTTCATTTTTTTTTATAACTTTGCAGATTCAAGTCAAATGTGAGAAATTGTTTTAATGTGTGTATAGCACAGAGACAGAAGTGAAAAAAATCTGCACAGATCTGCTAAACCTGCGTAGTCAGAGCCTCTCTATACGCAGTCAGTGGAAAATAATCAGATTGGAGACTAAAAAGTCGTATGCAGCCAGTGTGTTCAGGCCTTTAGTTTAAAGGTGACACCTACTCTGTTAACTCCTCCCTGCCAGTAAGTGGTGCCCTTGTGCTGCCTCATTCATCCCTTCAGTTGCCAGGTATGCCAGCAAATATTTAGCTAAGCTTTCCAGAAGGAAAACAGCAACCTCTACAATGAGCCCCTTTGCTTCCTTAAGTTGTCTCCAATGTTCTCCCTGATTCTGTTTCTTTTTTGTATTATTTGTATATTCTTTGAATATACGTAGTACTGCTCTTCAAAATATGGTATATTAGAACTGTCAAAATTTATGAAAGAATGACTTACATACTATGTGTTTTTTCAGTGAAATGTATTATATTATTCAGCAGAACATGTTCTGTGTGTTCTTTTTTATGATAATTTTCATGAAAATGTTGTAGCTATGTCCTTGAAATAAAGTGATGTGTGAAGTGCCCTGGAAATGAAAAGGGACCCTCCATTAGTCATCTTTCTGCTTAAAAGGTAAGATGTTTCCCAGAGGCGTTAAAAGTATTAATGTTTATTTCTCCAGTAGAAGTATAAATCCTGCTGTTAAAAAACATGTTTGTAGAAGCTAGTGGATCAACTTAAGCTTTTTACTCGTGAAAAAGTGTAAAAGCACCATTTCTAAAACCACTTAAAGTATAAAAGGAAAAGTAATGCAGGAAAAAATGTTAAGGACAGAAGCTTTACTGCATTACCCTATTAAAGGAACCTTTTTCTACAAATTTGGATGATAACTTCCCTAGACTTCATTTTCTTAGTTTTATAACTAATGGTAACAGTTCAAAATTTAATTTTGCATCATCTTGAAAAACTATTTATTTTGGTATTTGGTGAACAACAAGTTGGGGCAAGATTTAGTAGAGGTCAGGGCTGGATTTTTATAGGCTTCAGAGGCAACCACAAAGAAATTCATTGTCTGGATGAAACTAATTATTTTTATTTAATTTTTTTTATTTTAAGACCAACAAAACTAATTAATCTATTTTTAATGTAAAGAGAAGAAAATTAAAATATAGATAGCCAATATTTCTACCTAAGTAAGGAAGTATTAGTACTTTGTTACTTGATACCTCAGACTAAAGGAGAGAAAATTACAGAAGGATCCTGGAAAAAAACCTGTTTGAGGCGAAAATAGACTTGAGATGGTTGCAGGTTCAAACTCTAACAGGAAACAACCAACTAACAAAGAAGTCCTGCACTGCAAAGATTGAAATACAGGGAAGTTAAATAAGTAAAGACAATTTTCCAATGAAATGAGATGATTTACATTTACAAATACGAAAAGACAAATGCATTCTGATATCTGCATGAGAGTTAGAAAAACTATTTTGATAAACGTAAAAAGTCGACATCTTTGCCTGTCAGTGAACAAGGCAAGCAGGAGCAGTTCTGAAAAGCTCAGAGAAATGCAGAAAAAGGTCAAATACAAAATGTAAAAATCAAAAAACAATGATTGTTCAATTCTACTCTAAGATAAATAATTATAGAGAGGTTACATTTGAAATTACGTGTTAGGAAGAGCCGTTTATCACCTTGTTAAATGCATAGGAATTGTAATATCCCTTTAAAGAGATTATCTACAGCCGAGTTCTACCATCGCATCACATGTTTTCTAAATGGCTGTAATCCACAATCCTATAATCCCAACCGATCAAAGGTTGAGATTAGCATCAGTCTGGAAGAGCCAGAGCTGCAGATAGGACGACGATGACAGAGGGAGAGCTCAGGCATGATGGCGGCAACGCTGCACAGAAAGAGATTGGTGCACACAAATAGCCGGCCAATCACAGAGCAGGCAGAGGGAATAACAAGGCCCAGGGTGTTTGGTGGGGTGGGTGGGCTGGAAAGCAGGGTAGAGCTATGAAAAAGCAAGGAAGTAGGTGAAATCACAGCTTCAGAGAGGAGACACCAACAAAGAGGAGGGATAGAGATGAGTGGAGGAGAGAGCGCCGATCAGTGAGCTCTCCAGAGAGGAAGACGAAGGAGATGAGCAGCCAGAGAGGGAGGGAGGGTGAGCAGCCAGCACAGAGGACATCCATCAGCTGAAGTAGCCATGCTCTGAGCCCTGGAGCAGCAGGGCTACGCAGACAGAGCACAGGCCCTGAATCAGGCCACCGCTCAGCCCTACATCCCTTCCACAGACAGCAGATCCTATCCTCCTCCGCTGCAAGCAAGAACCATGAGGACGGCCCGGAAGGGCAGCGTGGAGATGCCTGCATTTGTGAGACAGCTGGTCAAAGAAACAGAGAAGAGGGTCAGCTCTTTCTTCAAAGGAGGCCGTGGGGGAGCATCGGACGGGGAGCAGCCAGGGGAGGGGGAGAAAGAGGAGGTCATTCCCAGCCCCTACCTAGACCGACCAGTACTGGACAAGCTGACAGAGGAGGGCTGTGCCCGGTGGGGCCTTACCTACGCCCTGGGGAGCATGCAGGGCTGGAGGGCCAACATGGAGGACTTCCACAACTGTGTATCACAGCTGGGGGGAGAGCTTGCAGAGTGGAGCTTCTTCGCCGTATTTGACGGCCACGCCGGCAGCAGCGTGGCTCAGTACTGCTCTCAGCACCTTCTGGGTCACATCCTGGCCACAGGTAGAGTTCACAAAAAACACACGATGCGCACTGGTTTGTATTTTATCTCAGCTCACCCCTTCTGTGCACACAGCTGGTGTCCGACTGGAGGACCACCCTGAAAAAGTGAAAGGGGCCATCACAGAGGGCTTCATGCAAACAGACAAGCACCTGCACTCAGTGGCCCGGCGAGAAGGCTGGGAGAGAGGCGGCACCACCGTGGTGTCCGCCCTCATCTCGCCATATTACATCTACATTGCCAACTGTGGCGACTCCAGGGCCATGCTGTGCCGCTCGGGGCAGGTGTTCTTCTCCACTGAGGACCACAAACCCTACTGCCCTCTGGAGAAGGAGCGAATTGAAAGTGCCGGCGGGTCAGTGTCCCTTCAGAGAATCAACGGCTCCCTGGCCGTGTCCCGGGCTTTGGGGGACTTCAGCTACAAAGGGGCAGAAAATCGGACCCCCAGCCAGCAGATGGTCTCACCAGAGCCAGAGGTGTGCATCATAGAGCGCTCGCCCTCGGACGAGTTCCTGGTTCTGGCCTGCGATGGGGTGTGGGACACCATCAGCAATGAGGAGCTCTGTGCTTTCATCCACAACCGGCTGCAGGTCTGCACGGACCTGAGGGATGTCTGCAGTCAGGTCATCGACCTCTGTCTGTACAAGGTCAGAGTAAAGCCAGTGAATCTTACCTTAAGGCTTTTTTTGATCACATTGTGGTCTGACTGCAACAACATCAACAAAGCCATTCACAAAGCCGTACATTATGCTTAATAGACTTTTATCTATGACCTAAAGGTTGTCAACATTTCCTTTAGGTTCAGTTTGGAGTAAGATTTTTGGGTACTCGTCACTTTTTTTTTTAAGAATGAATAATGGATACTTTCAAACTGACTTACATTTCACAGGTCAGGCTTCTCCATTAAGGGATTCAAGGCTAGTTGAACATGCTGGCCTATATTGTCATTTTCATATAACTTAGAAATAACTATTTTTGATAGGTAAAAACTCATAATTATGTCTCTTGGTTATACTTTCACCCATGTACTAGGTCACCATTTTTTCACCTGTGCAATGAATGCTGGGTTAATGACACGTTTACGTCTGACTGGAACCTAGAAAGTAAACACAAGAAGGCTAACATTAGCAGAGTTGTTTTTTTATTTTATTGCATTTGACTGGTGTAAATTTAGACAATGCTACAATGAAAGGCTGCCTCAAAGTTTTCATAGAGCTATGACTAGAGCTATCACTGTTAGCAGAATCTAACATTACATTCAAATCAAATCTGAAGATAATAATCGACTTTTTAAATTACAGTGACGTATCTTTCAGTCATAGTAACAAGTCATTTGGATTTATCTAAGAAATGTTTTAATCCTGATGCTAATTGTAAACAGCCTGAGTTAGACTTTGGAGCTCTTTGTTGCATAGCTCTCAATCTGGGTTAGCAGATGCTAACAGAAGCTGCACAAACACCAGCTTCCTTAGCCAACTTGAGCTCTGTTAGTTTGTCATGCCACAGGGGGGAAAAAGAGCACATACGGTTAGTCAGAATAACAGCTGAGCCCATAGCTAAGTCTAGGAGAGAAACAGGACTAAACACTGAAAAGAAGTCCCAATTCTATCATGTATCAGAAGGTGTTGATGGCAGCCTAACAGCTGACATTTCTCTCCAGGATGGAGTCACAGCCAATCAGGAACAGACTAGCTGAAGCTTCTTGGATGAGAGCATACATTTAAAGGTTGAACTAAAATAGTGCAGAATAGGATACTGGAGTTAGAATGCAACAATGATGAAAAGGGGTCCCTATGTCCTTCATTAGTCCAAGCCTATAGTAGCATAACTATAGATAACATAAGCTTTATCAAAAAGGAAAGTTTTAAGCCCACCCTTAAAAGTAGACAGGGTGTCTGCCTCATGGACTAAAACTGGTTGTTTGTACCACAGGAGAGGAGCCTGATAAAAAAAAGATCTGCCTCTCATTCTACTTTTAGAAATTCTAGGAACCACTAGTAAACCTGCAGATTGAGAGTGAAGTGCTCTGTTGGGAACATAAGGAACAATCAGATCACTGATATCAGATGGAGCTTGGCCATTTAAGGCTTTATATGTGAGAAGGAGGGTTTCAAATTTTATTCTGGATTTAACAGGAAGCCAATGAAGGGAAGCCAAGATAGGAGAGATATGATCTCTCTTTTTAATTTTCATCAGAACTCTGGCTGCAGCATTTTTTTTTTATTTAGCTACAGTTTGTGGACTTCCTGATAGTAAAGAATTACAATAGTCCAGCCTTTGAAGTAACAGATGCATGGACTAGTTTCTCAGCATCACCCCTATATATAATTGTAATAATTGTAATGATAATATATATATATATATATATATATATATATATATATATATATATATATATATATATATATATATTATCATTATATATATATATATATATATATATATATATATATATATATATATATATTATCATTATATATATATATATATATATATATATATATATATATATATATATATATATATATATATATATATATATATATATATATATCAAATCTATGTGAATAGTAAATCCCCATTCTTGTATTGTGTCATTCTTATGGACACTGCTATTAAATGTTGCCTCTGAAGCCTATAAAAATCCAGCCCTGACCTCTACTAAATCTTCCATTTCATTTACACTGCAGTTACTTTTCATGGTCCAACAGATAGACTGCAGAGGTGTCCGAATATGTTAGAGTGATTTCTCCTGACTCTACTGAGGGATGGATCCATTTTAGAAACTCTCAGTGATTACATCCACCAAAAACCTTTTATCCTGTAATAAAACCAAAAGGTGTTTCTAGACCTTACTAGTTACTCTCCCAAATAAACATACCTTTTCCCCCACAATCCTACTTCCACACTGACCCCTGTCTGGACATCATGTCTCAGTTATGTAACAGAGGTTCAGTTTAGATTTGCTGAACAAACTAAACATGTCATGCTCAGTTTGCATTTCCTGTTCCCCTACATTGGCGTGACAGAGGTGTGCAGATCTTGGGACGATGCTGACCATCTCTGAAACACATTCATGCAGTGTGCTGACGTGTGTGAGGTCAGCCATTGTTGCTCATCCTGCTGATGCTGCTTTGCTTTGATCTGCTCCACAGGGCAGCCTGGACAACATCAGCATCATTTTGCTCTGCTTCCCTGGTGCCCCCCAACTGTCAGCGGTGGCGTTACACCAGGAGGCCGAGTTGGAGGACCTGCTGGAATCCAAAGTGGCAGGTCTGTTTACGTGTGAAATTGTTTATTATGCTAATCATCTGGTTCACTTAGCTTCTGAGGACCAACAAGCCTTATATAGTCTGGCCCTAATGTGGCGCACCCCCATCTTGCAAGATGTTAACATTTAGATTAAGGGTAAAAATATTAAATGCAAAAAGTAAATTTCTCCATTGTGAGATAAATCAAGTTCAATTTTATTTTATAATTTTTTTTTCTTAATTTGAGTGTGCATATTTCTGAATATAAGCTTCATCAAAGTCTTTTAAAAATATTAGTTCCTTTGCTCGTTTATCTTCTTGTTTTTACAATGGGATTTGTGTCAATGGACCCTAAGCAGGTTTTGGCACCTTTTACTTTTCAGCCAGAGAAGCCATCTATTAACATTTGAGGTTTAAGTTTATAGAGGCCAGAGGTGTGTAATGACTAGTTACATTTACTCTGCTTAATTTTGCTGCATTATCCTTTAATTTACCTTTATTTCAGCGAAAATGTGATGAAGTGCTGCTACTCTTACTTGAATGGAATCTCTGGCAACTCTTCCCATCATGAGAGACTTTGCCCAATAAAGAACAAGATGTTTTAAAGGACAATATACCAGAACAACAAACATTAAAAGTTTATTGTGAAATGTGTACGTTTTAATCTTAAGGCCTGAACGCACCGGTTACCTACGACTTTTTAATCTCCAATCTGATAATTTTCCATGTCACACTTACTGCGTATAGAGAGGCTCCGACTAGGCAGTGTGAGCAGATCTGTGCAGATTAATTTCACTTCTGTCTCTGTGCAATACACACATTAGAAAAAAATTCCTACATTTGACTGGAACGGATTAGGAAAAGTAATTAAAATAAAAACCAACATGGCATTCTTTAAAGCAAAGCTCCACTTAACGAGTCTGTGCAGCGTCTCAAACCAGAACAGACAGAGAATGTTCATATGTTAAAAACATAATGAGATCTACGTCTAAAGCAAAGAAACACAGAAATAAACTCCGTGGGCCGTTTTCTATTCTGACTGAGGCAGAGAGGTGATTCTCAGAAAGAGATCTGGGAAGTTTATCTAAGTTTTTCTCTCTTTTTTTGATAAAGAGGTGAGAGATATTACGCTGCGCTTATCTGCTCTGTCTGCCCCTCGTTATTTAGTTTTATTGAAGCTCAAAAAGGATCACTACTTTATATGTTTTCTGTCCTCCTGAAGTGCTATCATGGGTAAAGTTTCTATTTTAATATTTCATTCATGTTTTTGCACCACTCTGTCCTGCTTACTATAAACGCAATGTGCGACTCCAAACTGACTCTTTCCCTGTGAGATTAACAGATTTTAATTTGTATTTTCCTCCAAAGCAGATTTTTTTTACTTTGTAACTGTGCTGCTGTATTGCTGCGTAGTCCGACTAAAATAGACCTGGGCTCTATCTCAGTTGCAGCTACGCTGCCCCCTGCAGGAAACCATCCCCATTGACTTTCAGTGAGCGCTAAATGTGACGAACTCGTCCGACACGATTTTCTGTCGGATTTGACGCCAAATCGTAGTCAGTGTGTTCTGGCCTTTACTTTGTATTTTCTTACCCTGCTGTGTTATTTGGAAGTCAAGTGAAGATAAAGCAAAAAGTGTACTATATGTTGTTACCGGAACTGACTTATCCTATTCTAACATGTATACATTTCACACTTTAAGTATTAATTTCGCAAGTTTTATAACAAAAAATATCTATGCATTTTAATAAGTGTTTATTTCACTTACATTTGTTATTGAGTTATTAGACAGCATAGATATATTCATTTGAGTCTTTAAATATTTATTTTTCTAATTTACTTTTCTTTTTAAAACCTTTACTGAAGTAAATATACCATGAGGTAGTGCAATACCTACTTGAATACAAATTTTAGCAACTCTACCCAACTCTGATTAAAACTGTGTAAGAAAATGGTTGTAAACATGTACAAAGATACGTGGAAATACTTTACAAAAGTGTTTGTGTTTCCTGTAATCTGACAGAAATATATGATGAGTTATCAGCAACTGGGGAGGAGCCTGACCTCCTGTCAGTCCTCACGGTCCTGGCGTCCACCGCTATTCCTGGATTACCTCCTGGTGGAGGCATACAGAGCAAGTAAGATGAATAAAACATTACTGTAATAAAAAACAAAGCCACATTCTTGGTTCGTGATTACAAAAAAATCACCATGTTTTATCTGTGTGTTATAGGAGAAACTGTATTATCTCTGCTTACTATCATCAAAGAGAGACACACCAGCATGCAGTACCAAATGTGAGTCTTGACTACCCTGTGTCCTCAGTCTAAGCTCTGCAACTATTTTTTTCTTCATTCTGCAAAATAAGAAATTATTCCTGTGTTTTCTATAATGCTTGTCTCAACAGGCTGTGGGAACGTCATGAAGCCCTGGAGTGGAGACTGTCTCTAACCTGTAATTAATGTGAATATTGAACCTTTTTCCTAATGTGTCCAATCTAACCAAAAGGGATATCACATGACCTGGCAAAGGTGTCAGTTTACATCATGTTAGAAAGCAAGGAAATGGTGAAAGCAGTGAGTGGCATGCAAAAAATAAAAGAAATCTAATAGAGACTTAAAGTTTATATATTTATATGAGACAAATATTTTGTAAAACTCAGATGCAGAGCAAGCAATGAACCTCTGGCGCTAATCCAGTGAACACACAGCCCAGCTAATATTTCAAAACCAACTGTGACACGGTACATTTTTATCAGTTGAAAACCTTGACTTTTTCATGCGCATATTAAAGATTTAAATATAATAGTATAAAAAAAGTTGAACAGTTTAAACTCAATTTCTGTTTCAGCTTTAAAGCTATAACTATAAGTAAACATACAGGTGGATATTTGTTCCTACTAGGCTTTTAGCTGGCAATGTGTAAGGGCGTACATTGTATGCCCTTTACTAAAAAAAATTACAAATTGTATGCCCTGTTTTTTGGGATGTACGGTTTTGGTACCCCCTAATTTGCCTCTGGAAACTTCACTCAAATTTTCAAAATTTCTGAAACAGCAGATAAACCAATGAGAGAAGCTGATCTAGGAGGTGGCAAGGAGACAGACTGCTGAGGCAGAGCGCTATGATCAATCCCCTGAAACAGTTTATTAACGCCTAAATTAACTTAAAATGACAAAACCTGCAGGCAAAGTATGTTCACTTTTATTATTCTGGTGCCTGCCGTTTGTACCACGTACCTGAAAAACGGTAACATCTACTTCCAGCTGCCACCAACAGTAGGTTAAAAACACCCCAGAGGCTAACGGGCCTGAGGCAGCTGCTGCTGGGGATTCCCAGTGACAGCGCACTGCCTGTATGTGGGGATCTGAGCGGCTCAGACAGAGAAATAATATTTGAAGGCAGGATGGTAATCTGGATTAACTGACTGCACAGATGATGTTTTAAGGTGGACTTTCTCACCTAAAAATTTATTAAAACTACTTTTTACCCACTGATCACTGCAAATATAGCAAAGCCGCTCTCATTAAACACAGGAGCAGCAGAAACATTAGACGCATCTGAACACACTTTACTGGACGTCTGACTTTAATGTGGACAAGCATCAGAAATTAAGCAGCAGAAGCTTTTTTGATGCTTAAAACGTGTTCGCTGTGAACGTAGCATTAGACTTTCTGATTGTTTCAATTAACCTATGAAACATAATATTGTACCTAAAAATTATCTCACGTCTTCCTTAAGAAATTTCCACCAAATGGTCAAGAAAACATGCCTCCCATAATCAGGACAGGAGTAATGTTGGGACAAAGACAAAAAGTTTGCTGCATTCCACCTCAATGTGCAGGAAATAGCATTTCAGAGAGTCTAAATTTCTACGTTTCCTGGGGGAAGGAAAACCCCGGAGCCCCCTACACTGCACAAAGCCTGAAGATGTGATAAATATGCCTAGCTAAAAGCCTGTTTCTTACTTACAGTCAGAAAGAGTCAGGAACCCGTTTATATGATTTTTATGCAGTAGTAGCCATTCAAAATTTCTCCACTTTCAATGGCTGTTCCTCTACAAATCCTTTTTAAACGTCAATATTTGTACCAAAATATTATTTCTGTCATGATTTGTGGACAATAAGATTAAGACAAACGTCATCTCCTGAAAAAACCCTTTAATGCAGTGAAAGGATGGAGTCAGGAAAAAGATATGCAAGAGGGGGGTCACTCCAGTGGCTGGGAGTTGGAGGGGATTTTGCTGGGGGTTGGAGGGAAGTGGGCTGCTGCCATCCAGCTGGAGTTTGACTAGGAAGGACCATTTTGAACGGCTGCTACTGTAGCTGGTGAAAAGCAGATGATTACAAATTTATCAACTTACATGTATACATATTTTTTAAACTTCATTCCTACAGTGGCTGAGAAGTGCAAATATACAGGAAATGACTGCAAACACAACACTGAGATAAGCAAATATAAATGTTAGACCAAAGGAAAAATTCTTCAAAATCGAAATGATACAATCACAGAAAACGGAGAACAGTCAAGTGCAAACGTACGCAAAGACATAAATGATGCTAACAAAAAACATATGCAAAGTCAACATACAGCAACTAGCAAAAACCTCCTGCAAGTTAAAAGAAGTGATTCCAACCACTAGGGGGAGACAGTCTCAAGCTCATGTGGAATCAGGCGTTAAATAAAGACATAAATGCGCAGAGAGATAAAGAGTTGGTTTGTGTATGTTTATTTTCATGCCTGAGGATCTGGTCCCTAGGAGTAAATTTTTACTAAAGTTTATGTTCTGGTCCGGTCTGTGTTGGTGAATGTCTCCCCCTTGTGGTTTGGAGCATTTTCTTTATGTGGAGCTTGTTTACAGCTTTTCTGAAGTTGCAGTTGTTTTTTGTACTTTCTTTGTACAAAAAATTTTTTCTTTGTATTTGTATGTCAGCATCATTAATGTGTTTGCTGTGCATCTGTACATGACGCTGCATTCAGCATTTCTCCTTTAGATGTGTTTTATGTGTTTCTCTAATTTACTGTCCTGGTCTCATTCTGGTCTTGGATATGCTACACCCACAATGAATTTTATGATTCAGAATAAGAAATCCTCTTTTGACAGCATTGGCTGTCTTTGTGTTTTTATTAGAGCTGCAGGGAAAGAGCTGTTCATCAGGATGTTTGACCAGAACGTACCCAGAAACAGCCTAAACATCTACTTACTGAAAAATCAAAATTTAACAGTTTCATGTTGACTGATTTGCCATGTTTGTAAGCATTCTGCAATTGTCTGTAAAATGTATTTTTCTGGTGAATTGTTCATGTACTGTGTCGCCTTATTCATCCTTTCAATGGAGCATAAAACATCAGCAAGAACCGATGGAACGGGTCACTCACTGCATTGGTTCTGTTATCTATACCATAGTGCATCATCCTGTTATATTTTTGTGTCATTTTCTGGGGATATCTGAATAAAGAACATATGACTAATTGGATTTTCTGTTTCATTTGTTCACCTAAAAGAAGAAAAATTAATATACTGTAGTATAATTTTAGCAGAATATCAGCGGAAAACCATGTCCTAAAAACAATTTGTGTAATAAAAAAATATATATATTTAAAGTGTACATTTACATACAAAAACATTGCTGAACGCCGTTGCAATCTGCTGACCATACTCTTCCATCTCCGAACTTTGTAACCTTTGCAGCTTTAGCTCCGGCTTCAGTAAACACAAATGTTAATGGCATTCTCAGAGCGCTACCCGTAGTCATATCCCTCTTTGCATCTCAAATTTTGCGCACTTTATCACACTTGTGAATTTTAGATTTCCGGTGCTTTTTCCTCTTGTTTTTTTTTTCAACTTTACAGAAAGTGTAAAATACAAAAGTACAATAATATAAGCCAGCTCGGTGCTGTAATGTAATTGCTGAGCTTTTTCTTTTTAATGCAACCAGACTTACTATATATATATATATATATATATACAAACTTCCGGCTGTGGTTCTGCTTCACTGATCTGATGGCATGGGTCAAGTTGGCACGAGCTTTCCTCAGTGCCTCTCTGTCACCAGACTTAAAAGCTGAGTTCCGTGCTTTTAGCGATTTCCAAACCTCCATCCAGGGTCATTTGTTGGCCCGGGTGGTGATGTTGTTTGTGATGCTGATGTCTTCAAAGTATTTGTTGATATACGTATGCTGACACAGTCATGGCATACTCATCTATATTTATTTTGTTGCCATACATTACAGCATCATTGAACATGTTCCAGTCAAAACATTCAAAACAATCCTGGAGTTTTTCCATGGTCCCCTACGACCACACTCTGACTTCCTTAACTTTTGGTTTCACCCTGATTAGCTGGGGCCCGTATGCAGGAATTAGCATGACAGAATGGTGATCTAGTTACCCAAGGTGGTGGCGGGGAGCTGCCCTGAATGCATTTTTGATATTAAAGTCGACTAAATCTAAAATGTTTTGACCCCGAGAATGCAAGGTCCACATGTTGGTAAAAATTAGGGAGCACAGTCTTTAAGTTAGCTTGGTTAAAATCCCAAGCAATGATGAAAACGTCCTCTGTGTGTGCAGATTGAAGCTCAGAGATAGCCTGGTATAGGGTCTTCATGGCCTCTTTTGTATTAGCGCAGGAGGGCATGTAAACAGAAGTAACTCTCTGGGCAGATAGAACAGTCCGCAGTTAAAAGTCAGAAACTCGATGTCTAGAGAGCATGAGCTGGTGACTGATGTAGCATTTTTACACCAGCTGTTGTTGATAAAAACACAGAGGCTACCTCCTCCAGTCTTACCACTTAGGTCTCTGTTTCTATCAACGCGGTATAGCGTGAGTAGCCTGGGTGCCATTCCGAACTTAGTCCCGCCACAACGTTTGAGGTCGGGAAGTTCGGTCTGGCATTGCTCAAGAGTAGCGCGAGTATGCTAGCACAATATCTGGCGGGCCAATCAAATTGTCAGGGCGGGCTTTATACGATGATGGACAGATGATCAACAGTAACGTAATAAACCACGTGACCGAAACGCGCTTGGGTGACAACAACAATGGCTGCCACTGGAGAGTTAAGGTGTGTAGATTCTGCTATTAGGTCTGTTCTAGAAGATATCGACAGCAAATTAATTTTAAAAGAGGAACAGAGAAACGCGATCAAGGCTCATCTTCTTATTCTAGGCGTGCAACTGCACCCTTTGATTTTTGTGGACAACAACTATGCCTTGCTTAACATACGTCGAGCACTCCGTTGCTCTTATTGTTGTAGGTCTATCCAATTGAGTGCAGAGGCATTTTTTTTCCTGGTTCGTTCAAAACACGCCCCATAATCACAGCTCTATGGAGCACTATCAGACTCATATTCTGACTAGAATTGAGTAGGACTACGTCAGGCTATAGCGTGAGGCCCTCCAGGCTAATAGCATTTTCCGGTATCGACGAATGAAGCCATGATTCAGTCAGGATGTTGGGGCAGCAGTTACTAAAGTTACTAAACCTTTTTTGAAAGTCAAAAATGATCCATTTTGTTATCCAAAGAGCGGACGTTGGAGAGCAGGATTGATGGAATCTGTTTTCTGTGGGGATTCCCTCTGAGCTTTGCCATTAGCTCGCCTCTGCTGCCCCTCTTACGGCATCTAGCATACCGCTTCATCCGGGCTTTGTTTTTATACGTCCGTAGCACTCCGCAGGTTTTTAAACAATTGAGAGTGGCTGTGTTTAAAACATTTTGTGACCGTAGCTCCTGCAGGCATTGGCTGTCATAGATGCGGGATAGATGCCTTGTATGTAGCATTGTGGAAATGTCGCGAGAATTGTTGAGAGCTGTATCAGTCCACTGCCGCCAGGCGCTGCCAAGAATTAAAAAAAAATCTCAAATAAAAAAAAAAAAACATAAATATGTTGCCTGGAAGTTAGTAAGTAATGGAAATAAATACAAAAATACACACCACGCTAGCACGGTTGCTCGCCTCCAAGTGACCATCTACGGTCCTACCGCTCTCTAGAGGTAAACAAGCAAATCAACATGGTGGCGCCGTAACATTCAGGAAGTTTGCAGAGAGTCAGGTAAAGAAGACAGCTTTTGGTGAATTTACTTGACAGAGTCTGCTTGTGGAACATGTAAACGACAAACGACAGTCTAAACAGGGCTTGCAGATGCAGGAAACAATGACAGACATTCAGGTTCATCACAATGCTAAGCAGAATCGTCACTTGAAATTTTGTGGCACGGTATAGGGAGGCTTGTATTTTTATGAATATCTGAATTTCATGATGACTGTAGGGAGATGACGCAGTCTGCTCGTGCGGTCTTTGCACTCGTGGGTCACTATGCATGTGCGTACCCTTGGTAAGGAAAGACTTCTCTTGTGAATGAAAAAGTAGTGGACTCGAAATTTCCCACAATGCACCTTGAAAAGTAGTGATCATCCATAGTCACTTGACCAGCAGATATATCCTGGAATGCTTTGGGAGAGCTCTCCTCGCAAAGCTTCAGGGGATTTACTGTGACAGAGGCCCACTTTCGGGTATTGTGAGTGGCAACAAATACCATAGATCATGTGCGACTGTGCAAGGAGGTAGAGTTACGTGCCCAATGGGCTGCAAAAAGTAGTGATAATCTGTCAGAATTGTCAGTTAACTGAGTTCACTATAAAGTCCACTAGATATTCCCTGCTCTATATAGTGATGGAAAAGTTTAGGGGTTAGGGCGGACGTTCGTAAACAGAAAATTAATTGTGGGCAACCGAAGAGATCCTTGTGGCAGGTAAGAATGCCAGATAATTCTCATTATATTATGACTTTATTCTCCTAATATTGCAACTTTATTCTTGTAATATTACAGCTTCATTCTCTTTTTCTTTTTTTTCTGTTTTTGAGTTTTTACAGCACAAGTGGCGCATTTTTATGGACAGTAGGTTGACAGGAAAGCCGGTTTGAGAGAGGGGGAGAGACATGCGGTAGAGGACCACAGGCCGCATTTGAACCCGGGTCGCCCGTGTCAAGGACTAAGGCCTCCATTCATGGGTCGTGTGTGCTAACCAATGCACCAACAAACCACACCCATGGCTTTATTCTTTTAATATTATGACTTTATTCTCATAATGGCTTTATGACATTATGACTTTATTTTCCTAATGTTGCCACTTTATTCTCGTAATATTACAGCTTTATAGTTTTTACATTATTCTCATAGTGTTATGACTTTATTCTCGTATTTAAAACAAAATAAATAAATAAATTCTAGCCTGGTCCTAATACTCTGTTGTAACCAGAAACAGGAAACTACCTGAGCAAAAAAAAAAAAAAATTTCAACATGAGCAAAAATTATGTTTTCTGGAGACATCTTTGATTAATTAGTGACACGTTGAAGCATTTTTTTTTTTTTTTTCAGAATTATTGGTCCTTGTTTCATCTCACAAAAATTAAACAAAGCTGAAACTTTCTATGCAAGCTGACAAATTCTGCCACAAAAGGGCTGATTCTTTATAGAAACAAAGATAAAATGGTTTGACAGATTAAAAAACATATCACATTATTGCTACATGCCATAAACTGATTATTTTATCCTTGCATAGTAAGGATGTGATAAGAGTTTGCCATAGATCGCTTAAGCCTTTGTCTCTATGCTTATATGATGGCGTGACTACTTGTGCAACACTTACTGCCTTAGGAGTGTCCTCTAGAGGCCATGTTTGATTAGATGTTCTCTGCTGAAAGCTCTGAATCTCCTTCAGGATGACTATGAATTTAAATGACCTCTAGGATGGGCGCTCTGGGAGTAATCAGCACATTAAAATGTTAGATAGCTTAGTTGTAGTAGTTAGTTGCTGTAGTAGTTGTTTAAATATAGGTCACACTTAGTTGTTTTACATAACCACTAACTAAGAAGCCTTTTGGATGCCATGTTTATACATACACTGATATATACTACAGCCTGATATCTGTTTTATGAGGTTGAGCAACATGTGCAGCATTCTTCAAATCAGCAGCCTCCTTTAAGTGGTCCTTCAACACTTCTTTAGCTTGATTGCTTTGGTATGAGTCAGTCACTTCAGGAAATCAGACCCCTCCTCCTTTTAAGTCTTCTTTTTTCTCCTTTTTCCTTACCTTTGCAAATAAAATAATCCCTTATACTGTTGCAGAGTTTATGAGGTCTGCTGCTTTCAGTAATGAGCTAATCTACAGCAGTTTGGACAAAAACAGTCAGGAGTCACATAATTTGGTTTTGCAACACAGGTAGGGCGAGCTAATGATTCTCTAAGAAGCTAGAAAGGATGCTATCTGTCCACACTGGTTTCCTGTAGGCGATTGTTCATAATCCCCAAAGCCCCCACCCCACCAGAGAATCCGTTTTGGTGCCCGTAGCTCTGCCGTGGCCCTTGGTGAGCGGTTTCACTCAGCTGCTTCTGCAGCAGTGCCAGAGACACCTTATTAGACACCATGAACTCATTCACAGATATCATCTCTCCAGATAGACGGCGCCCCAGCTGTACTTCTGCCCCTGCGCCAGCATCCGTCTCACTGTCACAGACAGTTTCCACAGACCCATCCATGTAGTGCTGTCTGCCTACGGGGCACTGGGTGGTGACGGGCTGCACGGCGTTGCGCTTCACGCGGCGGGCAACTGGACGCCTCTGGTTTTGGTTTTTGATTCGAAGGCAGGGGCAGGAAGAGAGCTTACATTGCCCTGAGCAGACTAGCTTACTCAAGATCCAGTTAAGAGTTTGCTTGATGATGATGGAAATGACATTGAAAAGAGAGTATATGCAACAGACTCCCATTAAGATGAAAAGGCAGTTCCCAAGTCGGTAGGCGCCTTGAGATTCGTAGCGCTCTCTCTGACTGCTCACAAGGTCTCCAAAGCCGATGGTGCTGAACGCCACAAAGCAAAAGTAGAGAGAGTCCACGTAGCTCCAGTTCTCCATGGAGCTGTAGAGGGTAGAGGCACTGCAGGCAATCAGGACAGATGCAAGTCCCAGAATCAGCATGACGTAATAGACTGACGGTTTCCAGCCTTCCAGGCTGTCCTCCTCTTCAGATGACTCCTCTCTGCTTGACATCACACCGGCTCCTCCACACCTTAGCCGCCGCTCATGACACCAACGCATAATGTATGCCAACATGGTGATGATCCTTTCCAGGAATAGGTTAAAGAATAGGATGGTGGCTGCACAGCCGATGAGGCCATAGAAGATGAGGAATATCTTTCCAGCAATGGTCGCTGGTGTGGTCATCCCAAAACCTGGAACAATCAAGGAAGGGAGAAAAGGATCAGAGATGATGATGGGTTTACAGAGCTGGTAGTTCATGTTTTATGAAACATGTAAGTATTTTGAAGGCAGTAATGTCTTACCAATAGTAGAGACAACTGTCGCTACAAAGTAGAAGGCTCCAGAAAAGTCCCAGCGTGGCCTTAGTGTGTCCACTCTGATCCCGGCTCCATTCGCCTGCTCATATTGCCGCAGCAGTGTGTGTAGGGCACCCAGGTTGACACGGTACCGCCTGGTAAAGTTCTCCAGCTGCTGTTTCCAGAGGAGCCGGGCACGCACTTCGAAGGGATGCTCCAGAGCCGAGAAGATGGCCGCTCCGCACAGCAAGTAGAGAAAGATGAGGCTGGCCAGCAGACAGAAACGAGCGTTGTCTTCGTTCAGGGGAGCCCGGGAGCAGCAGCAGCAGCAGCCACCTGCAGCCCTCCTCTGAGCCATGTGCACAGCAGATGCACAGAGAGACCACTGCAGAAGCATGCACCTCCACCCCTGCCAGTGCTCCCAAATCAGACACAATCTAACTGCATTTGTGTCAAATCAGTCAGTGAGACATTCAACTTTTAGTCTGAAAAGCTTCATAGGGAAGAATCTACTGAGGACTGCTTCGATGATTTCATTGTAAAAAAAATCTGGAACATAAGAAAATAAATGCAAATCACTCAGCAACCTTTACAAATATCAAACTTTTAGTTAATTTCACTTTACCTTTGCCCAAGTTAAATCAGTCAAAATTAAAAAAAGACAGATTTCCAGATTTAGAAGCTCATGGGGAGGATTAAGAAGTCAAGAAAGATAAAAAAAAATTATGTTTACTAAGTCCCAGTTTTTACATGCGAGCCAGAGTTTGAATTGGATAAAGTATAAAATGTTTTTTTCTGTTACCTGGATCCTGAGAGTCCGCTCCCACAGCGCAGCTGGTCGGCGTCCGCTCCTTCCATGTGTCTGCTGAACAATGACGAGAAAGCCTCTTGACTTTTGTGTTTTGTGTGTGAGTCTGTCTGATGTTTCATTTGTCACACAGTGACATCAGCATCTGCTATAAGCCCCCTCCTCTTTTGACCCCATCCTGATTGATACGGTCCTCTTTTTGCTGGTAAACACATTTCTAAAAATCCACCTTGTTCCAGAATGCTCCCATCCAACTAAAAACCTTACTTGTGTAGTTGCTGATTGATTATTGTTACAATGCACATGAAAATAGCAGTCTTCTAATTAAACAGGAATAATTAAAACTAATAAACCAAAGGCATTGCATTAACAAAAGCTTGGCAGCTAAGTTATTGTTTAAGCAATTTTTCCACCTTTGTTTTGGAGAATGTTAGTGTGGCTTGCAGACTCACTCAGTGGCTTTATGTTGTTTCTGCACACTGTGTGGGAGGATGAGTATCAGTTTTTTTTTGTGTGTTCATCCCTTTAATCTTGTCTGGCGCTGCAGGTAAGGGCACAGGTTCCCCTGTCTGCCCGCTGACAGCATTGGGCAGGTGTGGAAGCCTTGATATGAAGAAACCAATGCCCTCTGCTTAATACGGCTTTTCAAGCAGTTAAACAGGATGTAATGAGACTTTCCTTTGTAGGGTTGTTGATTGCTGATAAACGAGGAAAGCACAATGCAGGTCTCTCCACACATCCATGCAGCAGTTTGCAGTATGAAAACTTAGACAACTTTAATTGTCATTTTGTATATACAGAGTGTATACAATAAAATTTCGTTTTGTACAACTTTCATGACATTTCCATTCCTTTAAGTGCTGCAGTGATCAAATGTAAACAGTATGGGAGGGGAAAAAAAACATGGTGCAGAAAAACTCATTGATATGGAAGTTCAGATCATTAAATATTTATGGTCAGCATCAGCTGCATCTACCAGGGGGAGGGTGTGTTGTAGTCTATGATGCTCCATATGCCTTGCCACATCCTCCAGGTGTTGTTGACATAATGGAAAAGATCCTGGATCTTCCGGTTTTGGTTTTGCTTCACTGATCTGAGTGGAAGCAGTTCAAGCTCAAGTTGGCATGCCCTGCCCTCAATGCCTCTCTGTCACCAGACTTGAAGGCTGAGTTCCGTGCTTTTAGTGATTTCCAAACCTCCCCATTCATCAAGTGTCTTTGGATTGCTCAGGTGAGGATTTTCTTTGTGATGCTGATACCTTCAATGTATTTATTGATGTAGGCCGACACAGTCATAGCATACTTATCAATATTTATTTTGTTGTCATAGTTTGCTGCAGCTTTGAACATATTCCAGTCAGAGCATTCAAAACAATCCTGGAGTTTTTCCATGGCCCCCTCAGACCACACTCTGACTTCCTGGTTTCACCCTGATTAGCTGGGGCCTGTATGCAGGAATTAGCATGACAGAAAGGTGATCTCATGGCCCAAGGTGGGGGCGGGAGCTGCGCTGAATCCTTCTTTGATATTAGAGTAGGCTAATTCTAAAATGTTTTGACCCAGAGTTGCAAAGTCCACATGTTGGTAAAAATGAGGGAGCACAGTCTTCAGGTTAGCCTGGTAAAAATCACCAGCAATGATGAAAATGCCCTTTGTGTATGCAGATTGGAGCTCAGCGATAGCCTGGTATAGAGTGTTCATGGCCTCTTTTGTATTAGCGCTGGGGGGCATGTAAACATTAGTAATGCTAACCACAGTTGAAATCTCTGGGCAGATAGAACGATCTGCTGTTAACAGTGAGAAACTTGATGTCTGGAGAGCAGAAGCTGGTTTTCGATCTAGTATTCTTACACCAGGTGTTGTTGATGAAAACACAGACCTCACCTCCTCTAGTCTTACCACTTAGGTCCCTGTTTCTATCGGCGCAGTATAGCATGAGGCCCTCCAGGCTAATAGAATTGTCCGGTATCGATGAATGAAAACATGGTTCAGTCGGGATGATGGTGCAGCAGTTACTAATCTCCTTTTTTGAAGAGAGTTCGAGTCGGAGATGCTCAATTTTTTATCCAGTGAGCAGACATTGGAGAGTGTGATTGATGGGATCGGTTTTCTGTGGTAATTCCTTCTTAGCCTCACCGTTAGCTTCACCGCCTCTGCTGCCCCTCTGACATCGCCTATCACATCACTTCATCTGGCCTTCTCTTCTCTTTGGCCTGGCCTGCTCCGTGAGCTGATTTATGCCCATGAAATTTTGTTTTGTATGCACTCTGTGCATACAAAATGACTGTAAAGTTTGTCTAAGTCTAAGTCTAGTGCTTAAGTGAAATTGTGTAGATCACAGCATATTCACATGATAGAAAGTTCCACCCAAAGTCTAGACCTACATGTTGACAAAGCTTTGCTAAAGTGAATCTTATAATCTTTTCTAAAAGAACAGTTCTTCTGTTTGTGGATATATAATTGTGGATATATATTTTATCTGATATATATTTTATCTGAAGACTTTTCTGGATCTGGTGCAAGACTGACCAGTAGAGGAGATATAGTTTATTTATATTAGTGTTGCGCCGCAGTATCGGCCGATACCGATACCATAATAATGTAAAATAATTGCCATCATGGCTTTGTCAAGCTGCTGCCTACCTTTGTGAAGCAGGAAAAAATCTAATACAAAGTGAAACCAGTAGAACTTTTTATTGCCTACCAGGAGTGGGTGACAATAGTTGAATAAATTTATGGCTCTCAAAATGGTATCGGTGCCCTATTTGTTGGTACTCGCCGATACCGATACCACCATTTTAGGGCAGTATCTGGGCCCCGTCCGATACTGGAATCGGTATCGGTGCAACACTAATTTATATAACACATTTTAGCCATTTTAAAGTGTTGTACATATTTCTAGGTCAGGTTTTAAGTATTTAGGTAACAATATAACACCTTCATTTAATAAAAAATATTGCACCACTCATGTCTAAACTGAACCCAGATTTGCAAAGAAAGGATGTTCTACATTTAACCATGGCAGACAGATTGAACTGCATTAAAATGAATGTTTTGCACAAATGTTTATTTTTATTTCAATGACTTCCTAATTTTTTTTTTTTTAATCTTTCTTCACTAAACTTGACAAACTTATATCTATATTTATATGGAAGGGTCAGAACCCTAGAATTAAGAAGGAGTTCTTACAATGATCAAAGGTGGGTTGGTTCTGCCAAACTTTAGAGCTTACTATTGGATAGCAAATTTCCACAAAATAACATATTAGATTCAGTCTGCTGATACAGATTGCTGTGAGATGGCGTACATGTCATGCATATTATCTCCTCTCGCTTTAGTTTCATCTAACCTTCCAATAAAGATTTCCAGGTTTACTTCCAACCCTGTCTTAGTATCTACATTGAAAATATGGGCTCAATTCAGAAAGCAGCATGATTTGAGGGATACTGTTTTGACTTACACTCCACTATGCAATAATCACAATTTCCTACCAGCAAACCTTGATCACACTTTTGTCTCATACCATAGGAAAGGAATTAAGAGGTTTAGTGATATGTATATTAATGGATCCTTTTCTTGTTTTGAGGATTTGTGTTCCAAATATGAACTTCAGCAAAAGGACATGTTTCGCTATTTTCAAGCTTGCCAATTTACTAGAAAACACAGCCTGGCTGTGCAGTATCGGCCGATACCAATACCATACCGATACCATCTGTTTGAAATTGATGTGTTTGTGTATATATGAGAAACTGCATACTACTTGGATGTAAAATAATTGTCATCATGGATTTGTCAAGCTGCTGTCTACCTTTGTGAAGCAGGAAAAAGACTAATACAAAGTGAATCCAGTAGAACTTTTTATTGCCTACCTGGAGTGGGTGACAATAGTTGAATAAACTTTTGGCTCTCAAAATGGTATCAATGTCGTATTTTTTGGTACTCGCTTATGACGATACCACTATTTTAGTGCTGCATCGGGGCCCCACCCGATACTGGTATCAGTATCGGTGCAACACTAATTGTCATATTGGACAAGATCAGAAATCATTGGGAGAACGAACTTGGAACTGAAATCTCAGAAGACGCTTGGACTGACACTTTAAAAAGTTAACAGTGGCTCATCTTGTGCAAGATTAAATCTCATTAAGTTTAAGGTTGTCCATCGCTTGCACTGGAGTAGAGCAAGGATCTTTTCCATAAACCCAAATATTGACAGCAATTGTATCAGATGTCATAGTAATGTTGCAGATTTGACTCATGTTTTGGTCTTGTCATCTTTTGATAGGCTATTGGTCTGATAAATTTGATGTACTGTCAAAAGTCTTTGGAGTCAATTTCCAGCCATGTGTAATGATAGCATTTGTAGGGGTACCAAACAAGGATTTAACTAAGAACCAACAGAATATTATAGTATTTGTTTCTCTGCTGGTTGATTTTACTTCACTAGAAGTCAAGTGCGCCACCTACTCTTGCTCAGTGGTTGAAAGATGTAATGCTATTTTTGCACTTGGAAAAGGTCAAATTTGCTATAAGGCATCCAGAAAAATTTCAATCTGTTTAGGAACCCTTTCTATCATACTTTAGTGGCCTCCAAGAACACCCACCAACTTTGCAATAAATTGAAAGATTCTATGGTTTTAATTAAAAAATCTAAGCATACCTAAAGGCACACTTTGTTGGCCATCAGCAAATGTCCAAGAATAAAATAATTTCCTTGTCTCTCAGTGTTTTGTAT